TGCTTGGGCCGAAGCGTGTCTCCTCATGCTTGTCGGCAGTAGACAGCGGCGAAGCGAAGGCACTTCACAAGAAATCCAGGGTGTGTCAAGGTTGGCTGCCCGCAACGTGTGGTGTGCGGGGAGAGGCGATCCAATTCGGCAATAGTCACATAAAAGGTGATTTGTGGGCTCTCTCTCTCTCTTTCTCTCTTTCTCTCTTTCTCTCTTTCTCTCTTTCTCTCTTTCTCTCTTTCTCTCTTTCTCTCTCGCTCTCCCTTTTTTCTTGTTCTCTTTTTCGTCTCCCTCTCCCTCTCCCTCCTTCTCCCTCTCCTTCTCCCTCTTCTCCCTCTTCTCCCTCTTCTCCTTCTTCTCCCTCTTGTCCCTCTTCCTCCTCTTCCCTCTTCTCCCTCTTCTCCCTCTTCTCCCTCTTCTCCCTCTTCTCCCTCTTCTCCCTCTTCTCCCTCTTCTCCCTCTTCTCTTTCTTTTCCCTCTTCTCCTTCTTCTCCTTCTCCCTCTTCTCCCTCTTCTCCTTCTTCTCCCTCTTCTCCCTCTTCTCCCTCTGCTCCCTCTTCTCCCTCTTCTCCTCTTCTCCCTCTTCTCCTTCACCCCCTTCTCCCCTTTCTCCCTCTTCTCCCTCTTCTCCCTCTTGTCCCTCTTCTCCCTCTTCTTTATCTTCTCCCTCTTGTCCTTCTTCTCCTTCTCCCTCTTCTTCCTTTCCCTCTTCTCCTTCTCCTTCTCCCTCTCCTTCTCCCTCTCCCTCTCCCTCTCCTCTCTTCTTTATTTCTCTCTTGCTCTCTCTCTGCGCTGCAGCGTCATGTCCCCCCGGAGTTGACGCGATTTCCGTGCGTTGCCCCTTCAAGGACCTTAAATTGTCGTCTTACTACAGGCTTTCCCCTTGATTTCACGCACGTCCCTTTCATTGCCAGTCATCTCCCTGCATCTCCCTTCGTCTCCGCGACCTTTCTCATTCCCCCTTCACCCCCCTGCATTTTCGTTTTCAGTTTCCATTTCATTTCGCCTCGCACTCCTGTCACTTCTACCTCCTGTCCCCTGCATGTTCTTGCATTTCGCTTTGTTTCCCTTCGTGTCCCCTTCATGCCCCCCTTCATTTTCCCTGGTATTTCTCCGAAAATCACGGTAGGTTTCAAGAGGCAGAAAACAGGGGGATTCGAGACTGGGACCCCTATTTTGCCATACCATCTTCCCCAAGACTAATTTTAGTAGAACGTCATCAAATTGCTGCGTGCGCAAGCTGAGGATGCAAGGCCCGTCCCTTGATGGAAGCCGCCCGTCCCTTGCAGGACGGAAGCTGGGGATGCAAGGGACGGGGACGGAGCTGTCCTTGCAAGACGGGCCCCGTCCCCAAACACTCCGGTGCGTCTATGCCCGTGCGTATCAGTTATTTTAACGCGGCGTAGCAGCAATATCACACGCGGCGTAACTCAAAGATATTTACGCAGTGCAACCGCCAAGCCTCGCGGGGTCGAGCAGTATATGTTTGCCACAAACAGCACGGGATGCAACCGGACAATATGAACGAAATATGGGGACATAGCTGCAAGTGCTCATACAGCGGGGGATCCTGATCTAAACCAGAACATGACCTTGAACATGTCATTCTCCCTTTGGCGGTTTTAAACATTGTGTCTCGCGTCGAAACGTGGGACAGGCGAAGAAATTTGGTGGGTTGCTGCAAGCTGAGCAATGTAGACCCAAGGGTGAAGATTAATTTCACCTCAAGGAATGAAGGCTCTCGTTGATACGTAAAGTCAAGCTGAGCCACTTACTCAGAACAGAACGGGAGTTTCTGGAGACAGTCCCCTTGTTTTACATAGGTGTGAACAAACACTTGCGTTTTTTGTCTTCCCAAAGCTTGCTCCGAGCGTCTAATAGACCACAAGGGTAGAACAGCGCTTTGATGTCCTTCGTTTTCCTTCATTTACTGAGGACGATTTGCTGCTCTTGTGCCGGGTCTTTGAAGCTTTTGGGTAGACCCTCGCATGCGCGATGTTGAGTCTGACTCAGATCACCCCGAGGCCCAAATCTAGAGCAGAGCTGGGATGGAGATGCCGGACAGGCACGAAATGGGCAATGCACACTCGGAGCGTTTGTGAGGTTCCAGGGACAGAGCTCCAGCCACTGGACACCACAGAGCCAGATGATCTGTGTATTTGCACCGCTTTGGTCAATCTGTTATACAATCAGCGACAGATCGAGCGGGTCACCAAATGATTGAGTATTTTTAGGCATCAAAGTAGGGCCACAGCTTCTGCAAGCATGTTGCAAAATCCAAACGTCATGTGGACGAATGCACGTCCCCGCAAGGAGCTTGCCTAGAGTCTCCGGCAGTTTAGGTCGCACTGAAGCAGATTCCTTTGTCATGAGCACGGTATGTGTCAAACTATGAGGCCTCTCCAGATGGTCGAATTGGCTGCCTCTGGAATCCTCCCCAGAACAATGGGCACGTACTCCAAAATACGCTTAATCTGGCAGTGATCCCTGTTTGGGCAAAACAACGGAATCAGCCCGAGTCAATCAAAGCCACAAGTGAGCTAACAGCTTGATTGATGCTTGGAGCATCTTGGATTTCAGCCTTGTACGAGGGGGCAGATTGGCCGTTGTTGAATCAGTCGAGGTGTCCAATTATGTTTTCTCCCACTTTTCAAGAATTATTGGCATTTGTTGCCAGGTATATCCAAAATCATCTCCGTTTGTACCGTGGGCCCGTAGCTTCACGTTCTCGGGCGAGGGTTGCCTGGTTTGGCATATTGCGCAAGAGCCAGAAATATGGAGGATTCCCCCTTTGGTTTCTTTTTCGATTGGAGCCAAAAAGGGTTTCCTCCAAAAAGAGAAGAACAAGAACATATGGGAGTTGATCAAACGGTCCTTCACACGGGGTGACCATTCCGTATATCCACTAAAAAAGATGATATTCCCCACTAAATGGGAATTGTAGGAGCCTGGCCGAATAGCATGATGCGAAACGTGGCGGCCGTGTTCCCTCAAGAATCTCGTGAACAACTTTCTGAACAACCATCAATCCCATCAAGATATTTCAACGAAGGACCCTCGGTGGACAGAAACCTCATGCCCAACTCATTTCACCGATAATCCAAGCCCCTTCGCTTTCCTCAGGCTTTCCCTCGGGAGTTTCGCCCGTTGGCCCAGCCTTTCCCATTCAAGTTTGTGGTTTTTCTCGGTGCCCCTTTTGGGGGCTCTTTTTGAAGGCAGACCACAAACCCATCTTATACGCATTTCACATTTTCCGCACATGTTCCACGCCTTCATCATTTGATGTACATAACTTTGCCTTCCCTCTCATCCCTCTCCCGCACTTTTTCCGGGTGGGTTCCCTAGCCAGTGGAAAAGCCCCTGCCGTGGCACTGGCACTGTGGCACTGTGGCACTGTGGCACTGTGGCACTGTGGCACTGTGGCACTGTGGCACTGTGGCACTGTGGCACGCAGGTGCGCCTGGTAGCAGCGGAGCCCATCGAGCCAGGCCAGGAGCTCTTTACGCACTACGCCGGGACCCCGGACCAAGGCCGACGCGCCGATCGGCACCAGCCCGGGTGCTGTGTAAAATTCTCAGACTCTGAACCCTCCCCAAAAGCCATCAGGTGTTTGGACGCATTCGTGAGGTTGCATTCATGGTGCCAATTGTACTGGGGACTTTGGAACCATCCACGGTAGTCAACCAGGGGTTCATCCACTTGATAGGTGATTGATGGGTTCATTGCTTCGGTGGTGACGTATTCACACCGTTCACATTGCTTAAGTCCGGGTAACAACGCAGTTCATCGTCCCCTCGCCATGTTTTGGTTGCGTTTTGGTTTGTTTGGTCCCGTTTCCTGGGACAAACTACCGAGGCAGAGAGCCCTTTCGATCTGGGCAGCTTGCCTCGAGATCACACAGTTCTACATAGTTGTATTTCCAGGGGATCATTGCTGATGCTAGGGTTCTTGGTTTGGCTCCGCTATCAGTTTCTGCTGGGAGAAAATGGACAAACTCCTCGCCACGCACAAGTTGGCAGGTGGTTTATCCCAGGATTCATAGGGTTCATTCATTCCCGGTGCGTTTTGTGGACCGCAAAGCTCTAGTTGTACTTCCATTCTTCCGTTGGGCGTTTGGTTGCTGTGTTTGGGGTCCTCGGAAACTGGCCAGATTTCCAAAGAATCTGGGTAGGTCCCCCAAAACAATGGGTGAAGAAAAATGGGGGGTCAACCTTTAGAAACACAGATATGCGTTGGCCAGCTTGACTCTAAGGTTGCTCAAAGGCAATGGATTAGGGATTGGGGTTGACCAATACTCCATTTTGAAAAGTCCACGCAGCTCTATTCACGACAAGTGTTCCTTTGAACCAACTGTGGGGGCCCCCTACGTTAGGACACCCTCATTACCACCTGTACGCCAGAAACCTCTTGAACAAGCTCTCACTGAGTCGCTCTTGCTCACCCGTGCTCACCGGAGACGCCCCGCCCTCTTGCTCATGTGAATCAACGAGCCCGTTCCATTGCAGAGGCTGACATTCGAGCTTGGTCAATCCACTCAAGTGGGCAATTCCTGGAAAGTTGAACGCAGGCCTTCGACGCCCACAGTTCGCAGTTGCAGAATGGATCGACGAGAATCCGCTCCCGACAACATGTTCACTGAGCCTTTGGTTTTTGCAATACTTAGCTAAGATGGGACTGGGTGGGGATTGTTCGAAGCAAAGTAATTCTGGCTCAGCCACATTACCAGGAGCGACGTGTTTCCTTTGGAGGCTTTCCTGACCACGCATTTGAGTATGTGCACGCGTTTCTTTCCTTTGTTGAACAGCACTTGGTTACGACAACAGGTGATGCCAACTTAGCAATACTGCTATAGTTGCATGCTGCAGGGATGTTGAGCGTGCAAGATGCTCCGGGGATTGGTTGTGAGTATTCATTTGATCAAATAATAAGCAGCTACTTGGGAGTAAAGCAGGCCCCGCCTATGATGAAGATCCCTTTCTGGGGGATTGATTGCTTTGAACTTTTTCTGGTGTTTGAATTCAACATTTGCGCAGATTCCTGCGAGTTCTCAGCGCCATGAGATTGCGCCGGATGGCAGCACCCCTATGCGTCGCCTTGTTTGTCCATGTGCAGCAGGGCAGGGTGCTGCGGCCAAGCGGCCCCCAGCTGAGAACTCTTTCTGCGGGCGTGCCGTGTTGCTTCGCAGCTGGAGCCAGGGCGGCACGTGTCCGAGGCAAGACGACAGCCAACAAGCGGAGTTTGGCCCTTTTGGTAGACGGCGACCAGTATGGGCCTAAGCAGTGCCAACTTTTGGTCGATTTCCTTGACCAGTCTTATGATGTTCGAGTTCGCCGCATCTATGCTGCTCCAAGCAAAGCTGAAACATGGCGCAGGCCTTTAGCCGAGGCCAGCTTCGACTTTGTAGCAGTGCCACGCTGGACTGGTGGACAGAAAGATCCGGTTGACATGGAAATTGCCATGGATGTTATAGAGATGGCCATGTCGAAGGAGTTGTGTTGCCTTGCAGTGGCATGCGCAGATGTGGACTATGCAAGGGTATTTCAGCGGGGTCGCGAGCTGGGCCAAGATATGCTGCATGTTGTGCCTGCCGGGACTAACGCTTTACCGGAAGTTCCAGCCGAGATTGCAGCGAGTTGCTCTCAGACGCTGGTGGTGAAGCGGAAGGAAGATGGCAAAGCGGGCAAAGCAGAGAGATATCAGGTGACACCGGCCGAGCAAGAGGTCAGAGATTGCTTGGCTGATTTGGGCTACTGGGATCCGAAATCAGGATTGGCAAGGCGCTACCAAAGTCGCTGTTTACGTCAAGCTATTGCTTGCTTCGTGCATGTGAATGACATCAGTAGTCTCCGTGGCTCCCACCCGTTCTTCCCACCGCGAACAGTGACAGCACAGCTGCGCGAGATTGTTTCTCGGAAGCAGCAGTGGAAATCTAAGCCAGATGGCTTGCTGTGTTTGACGGGCTGCAACTCCCGTCACAATCACCCGACCTTGGGAATGAAGTTTTCAAATTGGCCCTTTGTGGATTGTTTCGAGTTTGCAACAGACAACTTGGCCGAACGGGTGCTTCGAGCCTTCGGTTATCTCGACTCTTGGCACAATGTGGTTGAGCAAGAAGCACGTACTTTCTTTGTAAAGCGACAAGCGACGAAACGGACATCTCATGACAATGAGATGCTTGCGGCTTTGAAATCGGCCGACTGGTCAGAGCTCCATCGCCTTTTTACCCGCGATGACCTCTTGCAAGAGTGGTGCTTACCTCGGAAGGCAGGGTTGGGAAGTTTTGATTTAAACGGGAGCCAAAAGGAGGCTGTTGAAAACATGGGTGCTGAAACATGGTGCAACACTCCGGAAGGACACCCAGCTTCGGCTCGACCTGCGACGCTTGGGCTACCTGGACTCGAAGGCCTCAAAGGGCGCGATCATGGGGTCCATGAAGCGATTCCTGGAGGCACAGGGAGTGAAAGTCCCTTGGCCTTAGGTAAACCTTTCGGAAAAAGGTACATGTATCTACTCCCCAGCAAAATCGAGTTTTGTTGCAAGGGGTTCCCACTAACCATCAAACAACTCATTTTGGCAGAGTCAGTTTGACCAACCCAGGTTCCTGCCAACTACCACTTCCGGGTTTGGCACTGCCTGGAGCTGCTGCACGCACAGCCATGCCCAGATCGTCGAAGAGAATGGACTGAGGAAATATCTCGCGGCCATGTTCAATAACAGGACTTTGGAGGGTGCCACTGAGCAGCAGGACTCTCTTAACTATGGATAAGCGTGCTTTTTCAGGGTACCCTTTTCACCTTGGTTCAAAGGAGGCCAAAGGCAAAGCTACCATTTCTCGGGGTCCCGCTATTTGTTTAAGACACTCGTGTTAAAGGTCACGCAAGGGAGTTCCTCATAATTGCCAACGTGGTGCCGCCTTGATTGGGTTAAAGGCTTTGGCGTTGTATACTGGCAGTTGATGCGTCAAGGCCATCGTGGCTGACTACGCTGGTTTTTGTGGAGGTGAAGTAGTAAGGTGCACAAGCATCACAGTAGATGGCAGCAAATATTGACCGTTGCTGGTTTCACGTTTAGAATGGTTGTTGTGGAAGTGGTTGTGCATGTAGAGCAATGGTTCTACTCACTGGCCTTGCAACTTCAAGTGAGTAAGGCCTTCTAGGGTGTGCGTCTGTGTGTGTGTGTGTTGAGTTGGTAACCTTCTTCGGGGATTGTTTGTGAAGAAAGTCCCATTTTGCAGGTCTCACAATGTTGGACTCAATCATTGAGTCCTTGCTTGTTTGCAGGTTGACTCCTCTTGCGCTGATTCCTGGATGGTTGGATCTTGCTTAGTTGTTGCTTTCTGGCGTGTTGATTGCTTGGTTACTTGCTTGGTTGGGGGTTAGTTGGGTGGATCCTGATTTATGTCTTTCGGCTTGGGCTCAAGGGTGGTAATTCAAAAAGCTGCTGTAGCAAACTGATGTCATTCTTCATGAAATTGAGATTCTCACGGGTTCATTCCCATGTCATTTAATTTGGGTTCAGTGGCTCCTTTTCTCAAACCACCCCCACCCCGCTTCCAGCCAGGGGCGTTTTGCTTCAAAGTCGATGCTTGTTCATCAAAGCAACCCCGGCGTGCAGTTAAAAGGAAAGCCGCCAACAGGTCCTGTCTCAGGGCTTCGAGCAACCTCTTCGTCCATGTTTCAGCGCGTGTGGCTGAACCAACCTCCTTTCGGCTGCCTTTCAACGTTCCAAGACGGGGGGGACCCCGTGACAACCTGAAATTGAATTGTGATCATAGCTCAAGTCAACCAACAGCCCCAAAATACGTTCTTCGTCCAAAATCTGATCATAGAAAAGTCGCTTGTGTTCCCAACAAGTGGAGAGTTTCTCCGCATGTTCCGGGAGCCCACCCAAGGCGAACCCGGCCATGGCTCCGAGGTGGAGCTGCGGGAGGTGCGCCAGGAGCGGCGCCAGCGGCTCCAGGAGTCCTACGGCTTCTCGCCGGTTGGCCCAGCAGGAAGGTGCGTCTAGGGTACATTTGGATATCGAGTTGGAGCTTGGACTTCTTTTGCGTTTTTTTGAGGGTTCTATTGCCCAGCTAAAATGCATTTGAGGTTCAGTTGGTTGCGTTTTTCTTCGATGGCGTGGTTCAGGGGTTGTGTTGCTCAAGCTTCTCTTTGCAGAGTCCTTTGGGTTTGCCCCTATTCCAAGGACACTAAAAGCTGATATCGTTGTTTTCCGACTAACCGTGGACCTTGGTGAAGTTCCACTTTCTTGGGGTTAGTCTGGTAAGTCACGACCCTGTGCTTTGAGGTTAATGTGTTGACCAAAACGTTGGCCGAATTCGAAGGGTGCTTGGAGAAGAAGTATAATTTGGGCGAATGATTGAACAAGCACCTGCAAACGACCTTGGTGGAATCCAACGGGTGTTGCCCACTGCCCGCCATTCATCACAATGACCTGCGGGCATGTTGACTGCTGCATGACATTGGTATGTTTTTAGGGTAACTTGTGCCTTCAAAGCAAGACTCGGTCAGTGGCGTCTTAGAATGTTGAGGCTGGGAGGCTGCGACAGGCAAAGCTCTGATGCTTTTTTTTTGCACCCTAATTTCTGAGGTGCGAGTGCTCTGCATGCCAAGCGCACAGCGAGGATAGCGACCGCAGAAGGCCAGCACAGCCGCCAGACATTTGGTTATAGGACATGGACCCCCCAACTGGCTAGTTGTCCCAGCAGTGACACCGGGACTCCCAACCCCCAGCAAGATTCCCAGGACTCATCTAAGAGCCCGTTCTCAGAATGGGGATGGCAATGGAGAATGGCCGAGTTAGGGGCCATGATGAGCCCAAGCAAACGGCTCTGATGGTTGGAGCACGTCCACCAAAAGGTCCAATAGTTCATCCCGCGCTTGAGGGGCTTCCAGAGCTCTTCAAACTGCCCTTCTAGCTTGCAACAGCTCTGCAAACTCTTTCGCGCCGGTGCGCCGCAGAGCAGGCGCAACGATGCTTTGCTAAGAGGGTGTTCAGAATTCCTTACCCCTTGGGGGCTTTAACGATGTGCTTTAGTTGGTTTCAAGAAAGCAGGACCAGGATGGACGTATGTGCGATACTGTTGTGACGCGCTTGTCAGGAAAGAGATGATGCGCTTGAGTCCCAGTGAGACTGGTCGACCCCGCCGAGAGGCTACCCTTCTTTTTCCATGTCCCTTCAGGGTGAAAAGGAAAGGGAAGAGAGGCTCTTCCCCCCAATATAGTTCGCTTCGCGTGCAGGTCAAGTAGCAAGAGCTTGGGCAAGCGCGCTTCTTCAATTTCCATGCCCACGCTGCCTCACAATACCCTATGAGTAGGTCACTCACCAGCTTCAGAGATGCGCACAGCCGCGGCGCCCTTCAAAGCCCTTGGACCAGATCTCATAGATGTTGAGCCTGTGCCACGTACTGTTCTACCGTTTATCTAATCCCCCAAACAGCGTCAGTTGGCGTTATCAATTACGCACCTTAGCACCTCCCGACGGTCCAGGGGAGGAAGTCAATTTGGGCATTTGTTTGCTGCTCCTAAAATAGATAATTCCCTTATGAAAAGGGAACGACCCCTGATGAGGGTCCTCCAGATTGATCCAAAGTTAGAATTATTGGGAACGCAGCATTCATTGACCTACGGTTGATCGTTTGAAACGGGGCAGTATCCATTTAAGAGGGTATCCGTCAGTTTTGATCCGAGGATTGAAAGAGATCATCGCGCAGGACATGCAAAACCCCGAGAACTTCGACCGGGGCGAGAGGGTCAGCACCTTGAGGGGGAGAATGCGGTTGTTTGTGTGTGTGTGTGCGTGTGTTTTTGGTGAGCACTCTTTTGGGGCGGTCAAGAGAAACCATGGGGGAACTAAGACTTTTCTAAAACTCTCCTAACCATCATGGAAGCTGACAGAAGGGTCTGGGGCGTGCCCGTCCATTTTAATGATTGGAAAATGAAATGAAGGAACCCTTTTGGGATTTCTTAAAGAGAAACACCAGACGCTCCTGGTAGTCCCCTGGCTTAAGGCATGCCCGAACTTTTGAGCTACTGCACATGTTTTGCCCACAAAAACGGCACTGGCTTGGCCTTCCGGAATTTGAATAGGGAACCTCAAAGGTGGTTGATGGACATGAATCCCAACCTAGGTCATACCCCGATTTGTTGATTCAGGCCATGAATTCCAGATTATGGCAACCTTTGCAACAGGAAAGCAACAATATTATTTGTAGTCTAGAGTCTAATGTTGGTTTGGGAGGACATGGCGGGCCACAGTTGCCACAAAGCAAGGGCTAGCTTCCATGTTTGCAAACCAAAGGTAGTCACCCAAAAAATGTCGAGCAGTTCAGATCATAGCACGTTTGCGGGCTTTCTGAGAGCAAAGCAGGTGCCGCCAACGCATTGCCACATTCTCAGAGCTTTTACATCTCCCTGCTTGCGGATCAGAGTTTAGGAGAAATTTGTGGGTTTCCCACGCCACTCAAGCAGAGAAGAAGGCCAGGCCGGGGTACCCTGAAGCGATTGCAGCGACACCAGAAACACAAGGCTGAAGGCAGACGCTGGGATTCCCTGTCCAACAAACTCAAATGCAGATGGGTGTGTTTTAAAATGGGGAACCCCCGCTTTTGAACGGTTTTCAAGGGAAAACAACAGGAAACGCGCGACACAAAGGAGTGTTAGGAAAGTGCCCGTTTCAACATGGGGCTGCCTGGTGATCTGCCACATTTGCCAATGATAGAGCCCCTTGCCATTGCTCAAGGATGGCCCCAAAGCACAAGCTACGAACCACCAAGAGAATGGCCAGGCACGTAGGGAAGCCCAACAATGTAAGCCTCCAAAACCCAGTCCAAAAAGTCAGGTTGAGAATTGCATAAGGGAGATATTCCTTGCCATCATGCCAGTCGGCAAACTTTTCTCGGGCGCCTTGACAACTTGCTGAAAACAGCCCTTCATGGATTCCCGGGCCTGAGCGACAAAGCCTGGGGCGGACGTAGTGTGCCTGTCAAGGAGCCTTGGAATTGAGGCGAGCCTTGTAGAAAGCCACAGGCACTTGGGGTGTTCGAGTTTGTTTTTCGGGTTGCAACCTCTCAGCCTGCGCGATGAACTATGTTTGGCTCAACTTGTTTGGATTGCAAGAACACGCCTAAGCAATTCAAGTTGGCCTAAGTCAAGGGAACGGTGGTTTCTCCGCGTCGCAACAAGCCCGCGGCTGCTCCGTCAGTCGGTGAAGCGGGTCCTGAAGTTGTTCGACCAGGAGCTGTTGGCCGAAGCTCATGGATGACGATTGATGGCGTCCAGCGGAAACTGGGGACCAGGAACCGCGGTCACGGACCCGTGAATGAAGAGTGTCCCCCCCGCCCCCCCCAAATGGATGATTCGAGGCTGGTGGTTGAAGGGCGAGGTCGAAAACAGATCATAATCAGAGTCAGATGGATCAGTTGCCCAGACCACAGGATAGAAGGCTTTCTCATCCAGTCTGCAGGAGGGACTTCACATGCTCAGCTGGCGCAAGATGTCAGGCTCTCGACAGGGTTCCCAAACTTGGTCATCCTTTCAAAAGGCGATTCTTCTGACTGGTTGGTCTTTTGGGACGAGCACATTAGCAAGGGTTATCGATTTTAACAAAAGCAACAGCGAGCAAACGGGAGGTTTCCATGCAGCCCTTGGGCCCAAACCGTCACATGGTAGGGCTGACGGCGTCCCGCCGCAGATTGGGCCGTGGTCGGCTTGCACTGGATTGGCTGCTCTGGAGATGAAACCCTGTCTGGGGGCGATATGAGGTGTCGATCAACGGCAGGGGGCTGGTGCCAGGGCCGGAATGAGGTGATCAGCAAGATCTTCAGGCTGCAGGATGTTGACAGCCTTGACCACCGTGGCTCTCCTACCTGCGTTGTGAGTCCTCCGGAATCTTAATGGCAACAGCTACGGGGCTGCTGGGCTTTGTATCACCAAAACAGGACTGGTGTAGCCGCTGACATGAGAACATGTCACACCTGCAAGGAGGGACAGTGGGCAAGCACCTGGCGCATTTGGTGTATGACTGCGGGGCTGTGGTGCCAGTGAGATTCCCGATCAAACATGATGAGGGCATGGCCTATGCTTGCCCTGCATGCAACAGCAGTTTACACGGACGATTTGATGAGCTGGCCTTGGCGTTTCTTCTCTCATGGCAAGACCAAAATCATTTCGCAAGTGGCGCAACTAAGTCGTGCAGGACGTTGCCTCGGCCTCTGCGTTGGCAAATGCTAGGCACGCAATGGCAGCTGGCACATGTGACTTGATTAACGGGACTTGTGGTATCGAGGGCGTTGATGCGCGCACTCTTGCAGCGGGTTCGGTGGGGCACGGCTGGCCTGATCACAAATGTTTTTTCATTTGACTACTGTCAGGAAGCCGACCGTTAACCACACGCATGTGGCGCTTGTGAGGACTCGTGCATGGAGTACGTATGTCGGTGCCTGGAAGGCATCAACGCCATTCAACGCCTTTGGACCTTGAATCACTTGTGTCTCGGTAGGCCAGGCTAGCGCATGGAGGCTCGCGTGCAAGTTGGCCTTGGCGATTGGGATCTGTCCAGCCGGTTTGCTTTTTGGTTTTGTAGCTGGCTGATATTTGTCACTGGCCGTATATCTGTCCCTACCTCGCTTGGTTGCGATGTCACCGGCTGACGGTTGTGGCTCTTTGGGTGGATCTTCGGCTTTGGTTCCTCCCACACCTGATGTTGAGGGGTGCTCACGCTACGGCCGGGGCATCTCCGTAGCCAGCGCTGCTACGCAAATCAAAAGGGAAAAAGGGAGGTTTCCATGCACCAGCAACGTTTTCTTTGCGCTGTAAGGCACTGCCTGGCTGCGATGGAGTTTGCGCTGGTGCGCGGAGCGGGGTCCTGGCTTTGTGCGAAGATTGATGCCTCGCATGCCCCTTCCGAATAGGTAGGCTACAGGATATTCTTCATAACACATCATATGCGCGGATATTTCCCACGACTGTGAATTCTGACACCTTGAAACGAAATGCGAATGTTTTGAACACTTTAAGCACCGAGTCAGAGTGGCCGTCATGAGGGGCCTGGTGTTCCACCCAAAACCCGGGAGGTCCGCTATCACAAGCCCAAGATAGGTGGCCCAGCGCTATTTCCCACATGTCCAGCTTCCTGAAGAAAACGATCGCACCAGTTTCTGGGCTCGGGCGAGTCACAATCAAAACCTGGGGTAGTTGAGGCTTAGTAACGATTCGTTACCATGGGTTTTGGGTCGACCAATCGGTTTTTGCTCACTGAGGTGACACTCCGGCAGCCTTGCGCTGGGCCAGGAAGGGCCATGACTACGCGAGGCTCGGGGCAAGTGGCCCAAACCTGCGGCCATTCCTTACAAGCGCCAAACAGAGGTTGCGCAAGCGAATCGTGTTTCTAAACCGGTTGAAACAGTGGTTCAAACCATGCAGCAGTGATCTACACCAAGCTTTAAAGAATAGTGGTTTAACCAATTCTGAAACAAGGACACATGATTCCCTACACCCCCAAACCCTAGACAATCGCAGACAATCGCCTCGCCCCCAAAACAACCCCCACACACCCGCAGAGAAAAAACAAAGGAAACAAACGCTAGGTTGGCGCACGGCCCTGAGCATCGCGACACGCAGCGGATGGCGCAGTTGGCGAAGGAGTCTCGGGGCTGGGCCAACCGAACCTGGCTCCCTTTTTTGCCCTTCAAAAGCTGGACTTACACATCACTTTTCGGGCTTATTTTAAATTGAGTTTCCTTTCAGGGTGGGGGAATATAGGGGTATGCTGTGAGTTACGCACGACTTTTGCAAATGGTTGGTGGAGATAGATCCCTGATGTACACAGCAAGGGTTGTAATTAAGACTCGTGCCATGGACCATATTCTCAGGACTGTGGCTGGATGCCGTTGGCGTGATGCAGCTGTGAGACTTCTTGACCGACGCAGGGGAAGCCGTCCTAGGATCCACAATCAACGCCTCTGCAAGCGAGCGTTTGCTTTTATGCGCGCACGGCGAATCTTTCAGTCATGCTTACCCCTTTACCAGCCAGCTGTTTTCAGACTATGGCGTTCACACAGCCCTGAGTCACAGGATCCTAGCAGCCACCCGGACTTTGAGTACCGCAGCGAAACCGCCGGGCTCGCCTGAATTTCCGACGGTGTGGAAAGCGAAGACAAGGGGCAGCCACCTGTTTGAAGCAGGATCCTGAAAATCGCTGGTTTCAAGGGGGTTTCCCAGAACTGTGTTCGCCATTTTCACACGGGGTCCATTGGGTCCACCTGTACCGGGCAGGAAGCCAGGAGACCTAAATCCAATAGATCACCTTCTGACCGCTTCAAAGCCGTCGGCTGCGGATGTTTTCAGGAGGAAAGCAGAGGTTTCTCTCCGGGGACCCCCAAAATGGTGGTTTCCCTTTGGGTTTCCCTTTAAAACCAGAAACAAGGGGTGCCCTCAAAAAGCTCACACACACACACACCTGCACAAAGGCGGCACTGTCACCCAAATGGGAGATGGAACCCTCAGAATGGGGTTGCCTTTTGGTTTGCCTTCTGAAATCAACAGATGAGGCAAAGAACATATTGATTAAACACAAATCAGAGGCCATTTTTTCTCTTATTGGGTCTATGAACCAACTCTTACAGCACAGACTTGCTTCAGAGCGTGAAGTGATGCAGATTCTCAGGTCAAAAACTGGGCGACATATGTCCTGATGATGAGCGTCGCCATAGCGCAGGCCTCAGGCTGTCTGTGTTTTCCGCGGTTTTTAGCCAGCATCGGCATCGGCCGGAGTGTTTCTGTCGACGAAATTCTTGAAGTATCGTAGTATTGTCACTTTGCAGTCGGACGGTTCTAGCTGTTTCCTTTTCTGCGCGAGCTGGTTCTTGCTGGAAAGTATGGTCATTGAGAGCATGTCAATGCGACAAGTGCAAACAGCAAGTATTCGAAACGGGTTTCACCCATGCCAGCCGGGCCTGTGCATTTTGTAACGGTATGAGTCAACCAGGGGTGTATCAGAAAGACTCTTTTTTTCACGAAAGGACCCCGCAATTTCGGATGGAATCCCCATGCGGCTGCAACCAATCTTGATGGTTGGGAGGTTCATTCTTAAATTTCCTATTAAAAGGAGCAACGACCATTCCCAGTAAGGAATAAGCATCTAGCCAAGTTCCATAGAATAGGTTGAATGTTGCCACTTGCTGATTCCCATATTCCTTGTGCTCCCTATAAAAAACAAGCAAGTAGACCAAACCCAGTGGCCTAGGTCGTCTTCACCGTGATGTACGAGTAATCCGAAAACGAGCGCGCAAAAGACAAATCGAACTCGGCGTGTGAAAAGCCAGGAACGCAGTTTTAGGGATGGTCCCCGGAAGTTTTGCTTTGGGTGAAGAAGAGGTACCTCATTTTTCGCCCGGGATTGAACTGCCGGTCACCAGGTCGTCCCCGCTTTCTCCGTGTTTTGTGGAGTTGGTATCTGGGATATTTGGGTTTGTGCGGGAGCGGGTTCAGCGTTCAGCATCCCTTTCCGAGAGCTTGGCGCCTGCTTCAGGCTCCTGAAATTTTCAGCGCGCGAAGCTTCAGGTTGATCCGAGTGATCACTCGATCACAGCGTTCAGTCGAGCACAGCAAACCTCGTAGCCCTTTTGACCGGAGCCATGGCTGACTCCAAGGCCCGATTGGACATGCACAAGTGCACGACTTCATGCATGCACACGTGCATGTGCACATCCACACATACGAGGAGAGGGCCGGTCCGAATGAATTTGTGTTTGCACTTTCAGATGATTTCACTTCTGCGTCGAGTTGCGTTGATTTGCCGATGATGTTTGGAACGATGTTGCATTCGCTTGCATTTGCTTGTTTGTGCATGCAGTTTCTCAGCTTTCTTGACATCATAATATATCATCATGAGGTTCTAATTTAAGAGTTTCCCCAAAGGGAACCCCCCAGCACAGAGGGTTGCCCTACATTGGCGCCACAAAGCCTTTCTAAGCCTTGCTAATGTGGTTCCCCAAAACATCAAGCCTCGTCAAACCTTGCATCACACCAAGCAAACAGCTGACACTACCTGCACTGCTGCCCTTGGCAGACAACGTGTTTCTCGCTCAGTTGTCAATGCAACACGTCGTATGTCATGTCATGTCTGACGCTTTGCTGCTTGCCGCACATCATCTTTGAGAGCACGCACACACAAACAAAATTGCCTTGGTTAGGCTTACTAGAGCTTACTCGGGCTTTCTGAGGCTTGCTGAGACTCCAGTTGGAGCGTTTGTGGGTCAACCACGCTCAAAACGTGGCCTCAGTGGGGCCTGCAGCTTAATAAGGCTTAGTGAGCTTCCCGAGGCTTTTCGAGACACCGCTACCCTTGGCTTAGTCAAAAACGCTAAAGTGGGAAGAACGGCTGTAGAAAGGCTTCCGAATGAGGCTACAACTCAACCGAACTTGTGCTTTGTAAAGCTGAGGCCACCGTTGACTATGATCCACCATGCGTGCAAAAACAATACCCAAAGGAGGCTTGACCTGTGATGTTGCAACAGCTACTGGAACTTCCAAACTTAACACCACCATGGCAGAATCTCACGAAGCATTGCTAGGCCTTCAAGAGTTGGGGGGGGACCCTTTGGGGGACCTCTCGTATCACCCCATGATAATAATCTATCGTCATATTGTCTCGCTTCTGCCTTGTTCGCATCTTTCCAACCGAATGCGGTAGCTTGGAAGACCCATCACAAAAGGGGGGTCCCGGAGTGCGGAAAGCGTATGAAACTCTTGACTTCTCTTTTTCTGTTGTTGCACCACCTTATGTTTCCCTCTTCAGACGGGTCAAACATAGTTTCACAGAATGCTGAACAGCGCGTGTCGCGTTTCCACCAGTTTGGTTAACAAACAGGTTCCAGGTTGCATCACGAAATGACATGTATGTTCGTAGCATGCTAGAACTCCTTCATCACCAGTCAGGATCACGTCAAATTGATTTTTCTGGGAGGGGCGGGGACGGACTTGGGCTTCTCACTTCCAACCCGAGGACTCAAACAAAGAACTGGACCCAAAAGAACCCAAGCCCCTGGTTCTACTTTCCGATATCTCGACCAAGTTGTTGTCCAGTCCCCTGCGAAGAGGACCCCTTTGGGTTTGCTAGGGTTAATCCGGCAACCCTTGAGGTTTGGATTGGTTTGGGGATTTGAACCTCGCGTAGAGGGTGAGTTGGAAATCACGCCGGTAGTCAGGCTACCACACTCCAAACTTGGGAAGCGAAGCAAAGCCAGATAGTCGATAGATTTCCCAAATAGGAACATCAGAACTCCCTAGTTGAAACTTGCCCGAAGCATCTCCTGGTAAATACCGTAGACTTTTTCAACCATTGACTATGAAGGCAGCTTACAACATGCAGCCATGGCATGTTTGCCCCAAAACCTGATGATGGGTCAACTAGTTAGCTCCGCGAAGTCCACGGATGTTGGTGGAGCACGCCCCCGCGAGGCGCTGAGCCGTGGTGCAGTGGCCACCGCAGCTGCCATCGCCTTGGTGTCGCGGCTCCGCGACGCCCGGGCGCCCTGGTCCCCAGGGCTTCCTGGTTGGTAACCATGGACAATGGATCAGGAACCAAGAACGGTCCCCCAAAAACAAGGAACCTGGTTCCAATTTCACGTCTTTCAGAGTTCCGCCCTCCCAATTCACGGTTCCACCCATTTCACAGTTCCGGCACTTGTTTCACAGTTCCGCCCGTTGTTGTGCAGCTCTGGGAACTACCGCCAGTTACCAATTTTGTAGGTAACCAAGCTGGTCACCAACTGCACAGGCAACCAGAAGCACTGGGTTGGGTTTCCCTCTGGAAGGAACCTCAAATTGGGTTCATATGGGTTGTAATGTTTCCAAACTGTGAGAACTGACAAAATATGCGGTTTCCTTTGGTTTCCAATCTGAAGCAACAACATGGGTTCATATGGGTGCGTTTCCCCAAAGTAGATGCTTTCCGTGTAGTGTTCCGTTTGCTTTCAAGTATGGGTGAAACCTTATTTTCTTTCCCAACAAATCCAACAAGTGTTTTCGTGTAGAGATGGGATGTGGAAACACCTAACATGGGTGATCTCCTGTTAGTGCCCTTTGAAACAAGCCCAAATTAGGGTACCAAAAAAAACGCTGACAAAATGGGGGGGGTTCTTTTGGTTTCCTACGGTTTGGCTTTTGAGGCGCCCTGGGTTGGCTTAAGCTTAAGCAATCAAAGCCAGAAGGAAATGAGTTGTCATATTTGGGTTTGGATGATCTCCTATGAACAATGGGTTGTTTAAACGCCTATCAACCGGTGCGTAGCGTTGATTTTCAGCAACCATCCGCAATGATGGCAGAAAAGGCGACTTCCTTGGCGTGTCCGGATGGTTGGACGGCCTTTTGGAAGGCCACAACCGGAAGCCAAAGGGCAAAGGCGACTTCCTTGAGTTTCCCCATCCCAACTGCCGATCGATTGGCGCGGATTTCGAGCTGCTTTGGCTCCCAATCCCTTCCTGTCGGGCAAAGTCGAAGGCAGCCTCCTTGCTACAAGCGGAGAAGCTGCCCTTAATTTTGTTGCATGGCTGGTGCCCTTCACCGGGTCACGAGGTCACGAGCATTGGCCGCCGTTGTTTGGGTACAAAAGGACGAGGGGGGAAATCCCCCAAACGGAGGTTGGTGAGGATCCAGATTTTGTCTATTTGTTTTGTTTTTTGAATCCAGAGTGACGCAGCCAAGTATTTACTGTAGCTCCGCACGAAAACTCCTGATGCATGTCTGTCTTCCTGGGAGATTTTACATCGAAACAACGTGTGTTTTGCTTTTTCTTCTCCCTAAGCATGTGCATGTCGGTTTGTGAGGGATAGCCAAAGGGAAAGCACCCCGTCTTGGGTTGTCCATTTTAGGGACATACCCATGTGTGCATGTGTGCATGTGTGTTTGTGTGGTGTGTGCGTGTGTGTTCCAGTGAGGCTGGTTTTCTCCAACGGCTCGCGCTGGACAAGGTGTGGAGAGGGCATGGCAGACATGAGCAGCGGGCACTACAAGCTGCCATCTATTTTAAGGGGCTAAATACTTAAAATGATGCTGTGGGGGGTAATTAAGCTCATGATCATATGACAATACAGAATTTGTGATTTGCAGTACTACTCCCACCAACAAAATGGAAGTGCACAGGAGCCTTTTTCAAACGGAAAGTCGTCTTGCCTGTTAGTTTGTGAGGGAACGTCGGAAAGGAGATGAAATTGGTTACGTTCACCACATCACGATTAGGAAATGGGGGTTCTCACCAATCCAATGATCCAATGTCAGTTAGGGCTGTTCAAAATGCAAGCCAGAAACGTATGGCTGGTTTTGACAAGATTTGGCCCCACAGTGATCGGCAATTTCCCCATGGGGATGATGGATTGGAAGTCTATTCCGAGCGACCTGCTTGTGTCACCAAGTTTCCGGCTTTGTATTTTTCTCCAAGACCTTCAAAACAAACCCTACAAATGGGTATCCAGGAACGGTATCCACATAAGAAGACACCCTTTTTGCCTGGAGCTTTCCCTTGCGCCAGGGATCGCCTGTCCACAGCCTCCACATCTTGATGACTTCCGTGGCCTATTACGGCGGCTTGGCAAACAAATAGTTGCCTTCTGGGGCCACCAAAGGGTAACCCGAACCTCGAAAACGGGATGCTTTCCTGTTGCTTTGTTGAGGCTGGGCCCCTTGTGAACATTTTAACGGGTATTTGAAATGAAGTTTGGGGGAAGCTCTTTTCTCGCATTTTCGGGCATCTCTTTTTAGGATGGCACTTTCACGGACCCAGTTAGTTCGCAGAGCTTTCCCATCCATCCCCCGCGCTTTTTGCTATCCATGGATGAGGCCGCAGCAGGCCTCATTGACATTTCGGGATTCCGCTCCGGCCAATGTTCAAACTGTTCAGCACATCCCGGGGCGACTTGCAATTGGAGTTGTAGTCAGATGTGCGAAGGAGGATAGACTTCCCTGAAGCAGAGAAGCAAGGCTCCCACGGGGCGGTGCAGATATACCCGCCTTATGCTTGTCCTGGGGCCCCAACCAGGTTGAGACATGTTCAGACTTCAAACAGGGGCAGCCTTCCGGTTTGCCGCTGGCATTGCGCCAGGCTATGAGCGGCTCATGACTCTGATCTTGCAACGCCTGGGAATGACGAGGAGATGTGCGCAGTTGATATGGGTTTGTCTTCATTTTGGGTCAACCTCAAAATGAATCCCCAAAATCGGGGGGGGAGGGTTCCCTGCGATTTCCCCATGTATTCACGGGCACCCCCAGGGGCTCGTTTTGACTCGAAGCTTCACTTTGGCCTTTTGGATCAGGTGAAACACCCTGAAACTGCAGTCTAGCGTCTCTGTTGGCCTCCGAAGCCGTAGGATTCGCACATGTCTGATTCACTGATTCCTGTTGGCTTCAGAAGTCCTCGATCTCAAGTCGTGAGTCCAGAGCAGTCACAAGGAGATTTGGCTTGCGACCTTATGAAGCTTGCTTTCATGTGTGTTGCCCATGTCTGTTTGGCAAGTTCTTCTATTTCACTCGTGTGTTTGTCCGGGGAGCAATTTTGGTTCCTTGGCACAGCTGGGATGCAGCTAGCCATGCGTCTTTTTGGGACAAGAGTACCAAGCATTGGGAATCCATGAAAAACGCATCCGGACCATTTGATGAAGGATCCTTGCATAGGCATTTTCTAGAGTTGAACATGAAGGTTCCTTTCGTGGCGTTTCTTCTTCTTTTTTTGAGCCGAGAGGTTCGCCGTGAGGTCGGCAGGATCACCTGACAATCGTTTTTTTTTTTTGCCAGGATGCCCCCGAGCCTTGCTGCCGTTGATGCCAAGGCCAGGAATTGGAATTCCTGAGTCGGACATGCCTTGGTAAGACCATTTGTGTGGTTTTGAAGGGTAATTACATGCAATCACGGCTTTATCACCTTGGATTGAAACCAAAAGGAGTGCCGCCATTCCCGTGACATGTACCCATATGTTGCTGTTCCATAGAGGAATCGGGTTAAAGATAGGTGCCCAAACAAATGGAACGGAACTGGACCAAGACCTGCGGTCTGGTTTAATTTTGACTCATAGACCCATACCAACGCTAACCGTTTTTGGAATAGCACTGCGCCATCCTTCAGGCTCTGGGTCGCGGTGCAGTGGGCGCGGCCGCGGTCGCGGTCCTGCTGGCGCGCATCCGGGATGCCGGGAGCCCCGATCTTGCCGGACATGAAAAAGTGTCTGAGTCAACCTGTGGTACCATCCTGTTGAACGTTTGAAGGTTAAAGAACGCTGGGTAAATGATTGCCCAAATGGTGGTAGACATGGTTTATGATTGAAGGTTGACCAAGACCCTTTAAAGGGAAGCAGAAAAGAGTGTCCTGTGAGCAATGGTTTCAACCTGCGTGTTTTGCTAGAGGGTTACCCGTTTTAGGTTGGAAGGGAAGACAAAAGGACAAAGCGCGACATGGTGGTTTGCCATTCTCCGGTGCCAAGGAAGATACGTGCACATCCATTCCAAACCATGTGGCCAACAAACAAGCAGATGGAAGCGTTGGCCAGAACGGAACAGGTGTTCCGAGAAGCCTCTCTCAACAGAAGCACCGAGTGCCCAAAACACATTGCGAGTCGCTTTAAAGCTCGGTACCCGGTGCCATCTTTATTCCCTGAGAGATGACCATGAGCAGTTGGATTGCCAGCAAGGTGGGTGTCAAAATAGGGGTTTGGACACCCAAAATGGTATTTGTTTCTTTTAGTTTCCCCTGAAACCAACCTAAATGGGGTACCCTCAAAAAACATGGACCCCAGCGTCGTAAGCCAATGGTTTCAGACATGCTGAACCTCGCGATGAAATGAGACAGTCGTGAGCTCCCTCTCAGGCACCATTGTGTGAAGCAACTCCCAAGTGTCAGGTTTTGTGCGAACCGAGATACGGGTATGTATGTCTCAAAATAGGGATTTGGACCCCCAACATGTGCGCTTGGGTGTCCTTTGGTTTCCCTTCAAATCAACCTGAGTGGGGACCAACCCCAACCACTACCTTTTTTTTGAAAATCATCAATCAATGGGCTAATTGATTACACACCCAATGCCCCTACAATCATGACTCAATTTAGTTGTAAAGTAACCCAACATGGTTCCCTACATTTCCTCCTTAAACACTAGTCGCCCCAACAAAGCAAAATTACAGAAAAAACGGCCCCGGCTTTGAACGATTTGTCCGCCCCTCACGTCGAAGGTGAAGCATCTCCCGCGCCTCTTGCTGGACAAGGAGGCGGAAAGCTTGAGTCGTTAGGGCCCACCCGGCGTGGCGCATCCATGTTTCCGACTTGTTTGAGGGGAAAAAAACTCGCACTTGTGTCAGGGGGCTTTCCTTTGAAACCAAAGCTCAGGTCGTGGGCAGGCCCATGCAAATGTTTGCCCGCACTTGGATCTTGGTGGGGCTCGAAATTTGGTTGCTTTTGGGACACCTCCAGAGAATGTTGAGGATATGCTAGTAAAGTTGACATAATCTGACCTACTCCCTCTGAGGACATCGGGATTTCCAACACGGAGCATAGGCAGTGGCATGTCCGTCGGTGATTCAAAGGATGTGAAATACAGGAGCGTTTGCGAAGGCTCGTCTCTCAATCTGACCTTTCAGCTGTTCCCCAATGTGCATAGGCAAGTTCAAGAGTCCCCATGCCTGTGCCAATTCAAGCCCAAAGATACCCACACCAGGGCAGAGTTTTGGTTGTGTTTTGTTGATTTCATTGGGTGAGTTTCTACCCCTGTGATCGGGTCTGATCTTCTCAAAATTTGTTCGTGGGGTACCCTCCCTCCAAGATGGCACCTGGAGGGTTGGACTTAGAAGATCAGTTTCCTCTTGAAGAGGACTGCAATCATGGAAACTGACAAGAGGATGTTGGACGACGACTTTCCTTTTGGGGAATCCCCCGAAACTCTCTTCCATTGTTGGAAAGACAGGACTTTGTCCGCTCATGGAAACATATATATTTTTTGAACGGAACATCCTTTGTTTCAGGTTTCATTTTCGAGTTCCATGTTGCAGTTGGGGGAGCTGCCCCCCAATGCTGTTGTTTTTTTGTTGCGGGCTTCCTCATTCTGTTTGGAGGAACCGGGGGGCTCCGCTTGGCTTCGATGTTTTCGCCAGGACAACTCCCCGAAGCAAAGTCTCCATATCCTGGCATCCTCCGTGGCGATCTTCGGCTCGGATCCAAGAACAAAACGGACCGAATTATTTCATTGAGCAGCGCTCAAAATGGAAGTGACCTATGGTGGGCAGAAATTCCTATGTAAATGACCCAATTGGATCCAATTGGTGGGTTTCCCATGAAGGCCAGCCAGGCTATGTTCTGTATTGCATCATGTTGTTTTTCCATCCGACGAAGGCAATCCTGCTCCGGCAACACACGCCTTTGTTTGGACAAATTATCAGATCGATTGGGGGGAATCGCATCTCAGGCTACGAGCGGTTCGTTGCCATGGTCTTGCGTCGCCTGGGCCTGACGAGGAAGCGGCTATGTCGAGGGTGGCTTAGTGGGAAACCAAAGGGACACCGAACCGCCTGTCATTTTGGTCCCGGGACTTGGAGGCAAATCCACTCGCGGGAGACAGGCGCTTGTTCTCCCAAAGCTCTCTCAAACGTCTCACCCACCCCCGTTTGGTGGGCCAGACAGAGCCCATCAGATGAGCAGAGCATATAGTGTGAGCATCCTGGTGATACAGCCCCATCCCCTCTCAGCTAGTCTGACAGCATTGCTTTCCAGGCTCAAGTTTGTTCGAATGCGCTTCCAACACTACTAGAGACAGACGCCTGCAGTTCCAGCAGCATCGTTGCCTCATCAACGGCAGCGATAAGTTTCTTGCATCCTCATCACCAGTGCTTCGTTTGATTATTTTCCTCCCCCAAATCCCTGTATCACCTAGGCAGAAGCCATTGCAAATGGTGGGGCTTCCCCTGTTCCATACTTGCACATCTAGGGCATCGGCCATGTGGCACAGTCAAAGCACTCTTTCACGGTTTGACAGGGGTGGTTAGTGACCCTTCGGATTTAGACAGCAGTTATTCTGGAATATGAGGATCCTTTTTAAGGACATGGCCCACATCTTGGGAGCTTTGACAGCGGTATATCGCCAGCGGTGGATCTGCTTGCAAAATGAGTTATAGAACCCAGAACATGCTTCGGTTTCCATTTTGTTTCCTTTATGGGTTACTCCAAGATGACCAACCTCAAGGCTAGAACATTGGTAGGTTCCCGTTGCCAGGACCAAATTACGTCCATTGGGGTCTGAAGCAAGCCTGTGTGCCTCCGGAAGTGCACTCCCTCCCCAACCCCGCCATGAAACCCGGCAATGGGCGTGCATTCTGGCGTGATCCATAGTCGGACAACTAAGCCTCGCAAGGCGTGCCAAGTCCAAACACCAGGAGCCACACATGTTGCCGCCTTCTTTCAAAGGGCCAGAAATCCTTATGTACATGATGTCCACAAAAGAGTCGCAATTAAATTTGCATGGACATGGGCCTTCTTTGTTTTTTCTCCCGGCCCTTCCTCGAAGAGCCCCCGCAGCAGTTCGACACAGCTCAGATCTTTGCGTGTTCCTTTCTTCAAGCCAACCCCGACTTGAGCCAAGCATGACTGCTATGCGACATCCAACTTTGGCTTTAAGCAGGTGGTTCCCTAGTTTCTACTCTTTTAGCACTTTTCAGAATGAATCCAAAGCCTACTTTCGGGTGATATGAACCTCTTGACTTAAGTCTGGAGGTGAGGTGTCTTCTGGTTGGTTGATGTTTTGAGGTTTTGGTTTTGTTTTTTGCAAGGAATCCTGTTTGGGAGCGTTCTTGTTTGTGTGTGTGTGACTCACCCCATGCTTGCGGGCACGCTTCGCGTCAAGGAGCAAGACATGATCCGAGTTTGGACCCCCTAAAAATGGTCGGTTCCCCTTCAAACCAAACGAAAGGGGCGGGAAAGTGGCTTCAAACCAACCAAAATTTGACTCCCCGAACAAAGATGTGCGAATTCACAAGGATTCGGATCAATGACTATTCCTTAAGGGACTTGAGGTGCCTTTCAGGAGCCGAGGCTCGGACTCACATGAGGCTTGTCCAAAAATGGGATGCCTCCTTGTTTGTTTCTTTTTGTTGGGCCCTTTTAGGTGTGACCTGAAAAGGGAAAAGGTCAAGGGCAGGGTCCAAAATTGTCAGGATGCCCTCCACTTTGGCAGCCATGCTGACACTCTTTGCCGGTTTGCGCGTCGCCGGGCGCCACAGTTCTGCAAAGTGGATTGATAAACCCCTGGGACCGGGACCCACAACTCCCCCACTGGCGGGCCCCTATTTTGACTACCCAAATGGAGATCCAGTAACTAAACCGTTGATTCCAGCGGGAGGGGACATCAGGCGACTTGGGAAATGCAAACTCAACGTTGGCTGATTTTTATTGGGTGGAGTCCATATTATTTTATAATAATAATAATTCCTCTTATAATATTTTTATGTTTTATTTATTGTTATATTATTATTTAAATTTCTGATTCTAAAATTAATAATAATATTATTCGTTAAATATTATTATTATTATATTTATTTAGAATTGTGTTATTATTTTTATTATTTTTAATATATCAATTTAGCGGGGATCCGGGATCGGGACCCCAATAGTTCACCAGGTTGATCGGAATTATGGCAGTCAGCACAGAAACACCTTGTCCATTGCATCTGATTTTGGAGACGAACCCGTATTTGCAATGCGTAGCTTGAGGAGTTTTGACCCGTTTAAGAGACAGACCATCTGACTTCAGACATTTGCTTGGTCTTCCTGGGTTGCTCGCTACCGTTGATTCATTTTTATGCATGAACAGCAGATTGGAGTTGAGCTTCTTAGACGGCTGGCTGCTTGCAAAGGGCTGAAGCGTGAGCAACAACATGCTTGTCGTCAGGCAAAGCATGGTCACTTTTCGATTTATCCTGCTGTTTTGGTGAGATGGGGGCAAGCGTTTCCAGACGGGCACTCAGGGACGTGAAAATGGAACTTGTGCAAGACATTGAAACATATTGCATCTCATCGCCAAACCCGCATGATGCCTTTCATGCGCACCGTTCTGAGAAGTGCAGTGGGTCACTGCTGTTTCGCCCATATGTCTTATGACTTGGGCTTCTACCTGCTCAATTTGCCAATTGGCTGTTGGTAATTCTCGTCGCTTGATTGGGATTTCAGGCACAGTGTGGCGTGAGGAACATATGCGAGCTGTTCTTGCTTGATGTAGCTTCTTCGTGCGGGCTGCAGAGGGGCAGGAGGAGGGATGTATGAATAGGTTTGAAATACCTTTAATTGAAAATGCAGCAAATAATTGAGATCTACTTGCGAGGTGCTTAGAAAGGGGTTTGCATGACGTTTCCACCTCCAAAGGGACTCTCAAAAACGAGACACCCGCTTGTAGCTCGGTTCCCTGACTGTGCCTTTTGGCTCCGACCTGCAAGAGACAGCAGACAGCCATTTGCGACACTCCGATTTGAAGGTCAAGCAGGGTTCCATTTGTTGATTTGCCCGTCCCCCATTTTTCCAGAACGGAGTCCTAAGGTCAAAGAACACAGTTGGGTGAAAGTAGATGGCACAATTTCATTCGGGTTTAGTCATCCCCGTACGTAGCCGAAAAGGAAGTTGTGTCGCCCATATTTAGGTTCAGAAGCTGAAGGACAGGCAGACTTCGGACAGGCCGGGTGGCGCGCAGATTCAAATCTGAGTTGAGTGTGTCTCAAAATGGGGAACCCCCTCCAACAAATTGGTGGTTTCCGTTGGTAAGCTGGTCATCAAATGGTGAACCGCCTTCAGATTCGCTTCCGTTGTCTCGTGGTTTCCCTTGTGAATCTGATGGTCACGCGCCCCGACGCCAATTCTGGGGGCTAGCAGGTACGGTCCGTCCCTTGACAGGAATTTGGACGAACCTTATAAGTTGTCTTTTTGTTTTTAAGCTAATCAATACTATGGTCCACACAACGTTTTGACTATGGTGCACGGGTGGCATTTAAGCATCCCTTTTGGCAGCTGTCTGGCACCCGTTCCCATTCTGCGTTCAATCAGCAAGTGCAAGTTGCCTTTATTCCAAACATCGCACAGTTGGCTTCATGGCATCAAGACGATGTTGCGGTCAGGGCGCAGCTGCCAACTGCTAGCCATACCACCCACCACCTGCCTCGAAGTCTGGTGAATGGGCTTACAGATGCGCGGCTCCCATCCAGACACAGGACTCAGATCCTATTGCTTCAAGACCGTTTAATGCACCAAACAACATGGCCAGGTGTCGATGGCTTCCAGCAACAGGCTGAGAAAACATGGCACTTCCGAATGGCGGAATCCTAATTCAGCGGATCATCAACAAACAGCACACACACACACACAGACTGGTGTGTGTGTATGTGTGTGTGTGTGTGAGCGTGTGCTTGTGCGTGTGCGTGTGCGTGTGCGTGTGCATGTGTGCTGGTGTTTGTGTGTTAATGTTTTTGATAGTACTCTTTTCACCTTAGTTCAAGGAGAAGCCAACATGACATTTCCGTGATTGGGGTTCCCGCTAGTTTGACTCACACCCACATTACCAATACTGGATAACAACACTGTACCCGCACGTTGAGAAGTCTTCTGCCAATTCAGCGCCATTAAACACTTCGGGTTTGGTTTGGTTTGGGGGAAGTTGAAATCCCTTTAGATGTATGTGTCCCCTTGAAAAGGATACCCCTGTTTGAGGTGGGTCTTAAAGAGAATCCAGGGAACCACCGCATCCATAGTGAGGGCGCCCACCTAAATGGGGTTAAACATCTGGCCCCTTTGTGACATTTTGTGCTGCCTCTTGAAGCTCAGTTTTTGACCATCAAAAGCCGGGCAATTGGAGGGTACGTGAGTGCACATATCATCGCATATCCTCCCTTTGACGCGCTACCATGTCTTGGGTAGACCGTTAGACCATGTGAATGCCAGGTTTTGATTGTCTCTCAAGTTTGTTTGCGCCAAGATGGGGAAGCCCTCAATCGCTTTCATCGAGGTACTTAGGTGGCCATGAAACTTGACAGGGAACCACAGAAGTGATTTGTGGACATGAATCCCCACCGAATTTTGATGTCCAAATACCAAAGGGTCCGGGACCCAGGTAGCCTAGAAAAAGACCCCAAAACCCCAAAACCCGAAACTGACTGACGGGTACCCAGGATTAAAATTCACACCCGGGGACCCTAAAAACTGTCCCGAAGGCTGGCGGAGATGCTGAAGCCTGGCGTGGACTTCCTGGGCCGCTGGATGGGGCTCTTCCTGGCCGGGGCCCGAGAAAGGCGGAGAGCGTAACCCTAGGCGTAGGGATAGATAATGTATAAAATGTATATTAATATAGACATATCGACCCCCATATTATATACATTATGATATATATATATATATTACATGCATACTTAAGATATGTACATGTATACATACATACCTTTTCATGTATATGTATATACGTCTATCTCATGCCGCCGCCATCCGTTTCGCATTGTGGGCTGAGCCATTTCTGCGGATACAAGCTCTCGTGACATGTAGTTTGTCTTTCGCAGGCGGGCAGTATTGGTTGTTCGGCGAGGCACGGCGAGAAGTATGCAACTGCGTGACTAAAATAACTGCACACATGGATAGTGCAAGTGGGATGTGCTTGGGTTGAGCCTCCACCTGGCAAGTCAATGCGGTCTGGGGCGTCCAAAAGCCCACCCTGTGATTACAGGATGGGGTGCAAGAAGTCAACTGCTCTTCCTTAGCAACAGCCGGGTCTAGGTCTAGGCTTTTCCGGGTTGGGTGCTTCCGTACATGGAACCCGTAAAGCGACCTTCGAGGAACCTGCTGGGGCACCTTTTTTTGGTTCCATGACTTGTCTGTTTGAGGCACCTCCATTGGTTTCCTTGGATGCCTCCATCGCGCGGCTGCCACCATACAGCAGGGGCCCCAGTGAAGGCATCCGACTTCTGCGACATGGATTCTATGGGAAAGTTAATTCCCGGTTGTGTATTTTCCTATCCAGAATTCAGCCTACCTATGTGTCTATCAATCTATCTATCGACTTTCTCTTGCCTTGGTTGTTTTTACCTTTTCTAGTCTTATATTATCTTATCTTATCTTATCTTGCCTGTCTTGATTTTGTTTTATCTTATCGCATTTGATCCTATCTTATCACATATATATATATATATAATGCTATCTATCTTATCTTAATATCTATCTCATCCCCCGTATGTTGTATCTGTCTTTTCTATCTCATTTATCTTTTATATCGTATCTATCTTTTCTATACTTTTTGTATCTTGTCTATCTTATCTGTCTTATCTGTCTTCTATATCTTCTCATTATTGTCATATCTAGCTTATCTACCTTATCTATCTTATCGATATTGTCGTGCCTTACCTTATGTTATCTTTATCCTATCCTTTTTTTTCCTATCCTATTTTATCCTATCCTGTCCTATCCTATCCTGTCCTGTCCTGTCCTATCCTATCCTGTCCTATCCTATCCTGTCCTATCCTATCCTGTCCTATCTATCTATGTAATCTATCTATCTAATCCAATCTAATCTAATCTAACCTAATCTATCTATCCATCTGTCCACCTGTCCACCTATCCATCTATCCATCTATCCATCTACCCATCCATCCTATCTAATCCATCCATCCATCCACCTATCCATCCATCCACCTATCTATCTATCTATCTATCTATCTATCTATCTATCTATCTATCCATTCATCTATCCATTGATCCATCTATTTGTCTTCCTATCTATCTATCTATCTATCTATCTATCTATCTATCTATCTATCTATCTATCTATCTATCTATCTATCTATCTATCTATCTATCTATCTATCTAGTCTATCTATAATCCATCTAATCGATCCATCCATCCATCCATCCATCCATCCATCCATCCATCCATGCATCCATCCATCCATCCTTCCTTCCTTCCTTCCTTCCTTCCTTCCTTCCTTCCTTCCTTCCTTCCTTCCATCCATTTGTCTATGTATCTATCTATCTAATCTAGTCCATCTAATCTAGTCTAATCTAATATCATATATGAAAATCTAATCTAATCTAATATAATATAATGTAATAAAATCTAATCTAATCTAATCTAATCTAATATAATCTAATAACATCTAATCTATCTAAGCTAATCTAATCTAATCTAATCTAATCAATCAATCAATCAAGTCTATCTATGTATCTATCTATCTGTCTATCCGTCTGTCTGTCTGTCTGTCTTTCTGTCTGTCTGTCTGTCTGTCTGTCTGTCTATCTATCTATCTATCTATTCTAACTAGTCTAGTCTAGTCTAGTGTAGCCTATTCTAGTCTATCTATCGGGGTTTTCCTACACCAAGAATCAGATGTCGGCGCTGTCATGCGCTATGCCTTCAAAACGAGGCTCAACGAGGAACAACACACATGCAACGAATGAATGAAACAAAGGTTTCCAGGTTCAAAGGACTTTAAAGTGTGTGCGACAAACCACCCGGTTGCATGACTGAGGTGAACATCGTTGAACACGATGTCTGATTTTTCCGGTCGTGCATAGACGCATGCTGCGAACTTGCAAAAGTTAGTGTCCTCATTAATTAAGCAAGGTTTCCACTCCGTTTATCGGAACCAAGGTTGCGAGACCTGTCGTGGACGAAGAGGAACCTAAAGGCAGACTTCAGTCGATCCATTTAAAGTGCTCATGAAGTTGTTTGTTTGCCGCCCGCATGACTTGCTCAGAGCGATTTGAAGCCTGGCATCCCGCGTCACAAAGTGGCCGACAGAGTGCGACGCCGCTCTGCGTCGGCGTGCCCGCGAGCGCGCTGTCATGGCGGCGCGAGGGGCGGCAATCCCAGAACTCCAGGAGGATTTCGTGGGCCCGCTTCCTCTAGCTGTGGCATGGGGCGAGGCGATGGCTGCAGCAGGCTGCGCCGCGTCAGGCCAGGCGACTTGCCTTCGAAGTGGTTAGTGCGTACACACACACACACCCGTCTCGAAGGACCTTTTAAGATGCGTGGGTTCATCGGTTATACGTGCTCCCCCCTCCCCAAGATCCACGCCTGGACCTCTTCTGCAGAAATGTTTGCCTCTCTTCCAATGCAGCTTTTCCTGAAGATCAAGAAAAAAGCGCAGGATCCGGGGCACCCGTCTCTTGGCCAGAGAAGATCCTGACCTTACAAGATGGTCTCTTGGCACGGCGCATTAGATTTCTTCTTGGCTGTGAATGGTTGTGTTGTGGTAACACAAGTCTACCACTGTCTCTGTATCCCTCCTGCAGTCAGCTTGGTAGAGGCTGTGAGATTTTCAAGTTCCAGGGGCAGCTCTTCAAGGCGGACAGAGGTGCTGCAGAGGCATGTGGCACGAACTACTAGGAAAGGAGCTGAAGTGCAAGAATTTTGCCAGCCTTGCGCCATTGCAACGTGTGTTTACGCTTCTTTTGTGGGGTAGATGAATCCCTCACAGGCTTTGGTCTAAACCTACGAACATGGATCAACCAGCCCTCACACGCGTACCGCCAGAGTAGCTGCGTAGCACATACAGAACAAAAACGCGTCTGCCTGCTCAATGAGCAGTCTGGTGAGAGCAAAAACTACCCGAGAAAAACAAGACTCATAAGTTTGAGAAAGATGTTTGGCTCAACCTCTGTTTTTGTTTTCTTGAGCCTTTTTCGCCGAAAAGCCGGTGTTGTTGTTTTCAAGGTAATTATAGGCAACAAGCAAAAAGTGCATGGTTTTGTTCTTCTTGGTTATCAAACTACGAAAGCCACAAGTGTGCTTTGTTTTCCCTTGTAGTCCTTTTACAACCAGAAACACGGGTTGTTGCTTTTTGGTGAGAAAAAGCAAAAACACGCAAGGAAACCAGCAAAACTAAAACAAATTGAGTATGTTTTTGGTTTCTCGTTTTTGTGTTTTTTCTCTTGGGAGGCTGTTCTCCTTTACAACTAAAAATCTTGTCACCAAAAACATCTGCTGGCAACCAAACATAGGCCAAGGCGCCCGTCTTTTCAACAACATCTCCTTCTGTTAAAACCAGCTACCCAACAATGCAACCAAACCTGTCACCAGAGTCTGGTAGTCAGCATTGTGTGTCAAGAACACGTTTCGCCAGTAGTGTTGACAAGCTAGGCGTGGATGTTGTGGGGCTGGGGGGGTGCCCATATTCACACATCTACCCAGGTCAGCGAGCCATGAGGCGCCTGTGGCCAATACGCCTTTCAGTGTGAAAACCTCAGGCGTTTTGCATTGAACTGATGATGCGCATTGCAGCGGGATTGCGCTCATGCATGAACATCATGCTTTCCCAGTAAGAATCCGCACGCCTTCTGCAAACCAAGCTATGATATGTCTGCTTGCACGTTTGTCACTGGTGACTCCGTTCTGAGTTGTAAACAGCGTGAAGCCCACAGCGTGGAAGATGCGGCAGAGGCAGAGGCTACATTCAACTTGCTCAAGTCAAACTTAGAACGTGCTCAAGCTTATGTTAGCATGACCCTCGAACCCCTCCCCATCTTCAATGTAACGCCCAGCCGCGCGCAAGTGGACAGAACGCGAACACACCCCGCCCCACCCCAGATTCAATGCAACACCCAGCGCGTTCGCAAGTGGAAAGAACGTTAACATGACAAATTCCACCCCGCCCCATGTTCAAGGTAACATCCACTACCCCGCCCCCCAACCCCACTGCGTGCTCATCGTAACACCCAACGCGTGCGCAAGGTTAACATGACGCCCCCCCCCCAACACCCAAAAGCATATATCCATTTGTCTGTCTGCCTATCTATTGTCTATGTATCTCTCCCTCCATCCGGCGACCCCTTTTCCTATCCCTCTTTTTGTCGATCACTTTCAATCCATCCATCCATCTATTTATCCACCGATCTATTTGTCTATCTATCTATCTATGTATCTATCTATTTATCTATCTATCTATCTATCTATGTATCTGTCTATGAACCATCCATCAACCTGCCTACCTACCTGGCAGGCCTGCCTATCTAGCTATCTATCTAAGTATCTATCTTTGCATCTATTTACCCATCTATTTGTCTATCTCTCTTTCCGTTTTTTGCGTTTTTAATGTGTGTTCTGTCCTGTTGTCTATCGGTCTAGCTGTCAAGTTTGTCTATGTGCCTATCTGCCTATCTGCCTATCTGTCTATCTGTCCTTCCTGTCTCGAAAAGTCTAAGTCTATCTGTCTTTTTATCGTTTGACTATCTATCTTTCCATGTACATATCTGTTTAGCTACATATCTGTTCATCTATCTATCCATCCATGCATTCCCGTTCCATCTATCTATCTACAATAATTTGTGTGTCTGTGTGTCTATCTGTGTGGTTTGCTAGCTGGCTGGCTGGCTAGAGATTTGGCTGTCTGTTTATTTAAATACCCAGCCAGCTATCCATCTATCAGGCGTCCATCAAAATGGACTAGATCACCAATTCTCCATTAGGTGACTTTCCAGGAGCTGCGATGCCGTGCAAGTTGACCGAAGTGGCCTCTCATGGAAAGCGTTGAGAGCTGGCGGATCAAGTGATAGTGTGGCTCTTGAGCTGCTTTGGTATTGGGTCAACAGATATTCCTTTTTGCAGGGCTTGTCACGTGTTCGAGCCTTGGCTTCCTTTTGTGCCGCCTGTCAATCGAAAACACATTCAACAAACTCCTTGTCGACCTCAAATCGAGCTGGTGCAAATGGATTTCCACCACAGGGTCCCCAAGAAAAGCTCATGCCCATCACACATGCCTGTTGAGAAATCCGTTGTTCCCCGCTGCCTTCAAAACATATGAACCATCCCTATCTTGAGCCTTGGCCATTCCACAAACTCAATGTAAGCTTATAACTCGGGAACTCCCAATAAAAGCGCTGCACATACCTCCCCACGCTACTTCTGACGTCTACCGACTGTCTACAACAGGGTTCAGCAAAACAGTTCATAGTTCATAGCCAAATGATTCAGTGCGAATTGCGAGGACGTCCAGAGCACCCCAAATTGCAATTCATTCTAACCCCAACGGTTTGTTTCTCTTTCGCCAATGCAACTCGTTGCAAATTGCATGGCTTTGTTTGGCCGATCTGCGAGGTGGACGGGTGTGGGCCAACACTACGGCTGTGCTGGGCCTCGGGTGGGGTGCCACGCCAGAGCCTCAGTTGCGAGCTTCAGCGAATGGTCCTCAACCTTTCGGTCTTGAAAAGTTCCAACTCTGGTCTACTTGCAGTGGTCAGTAACCTCAGTTATGGCGCATTGATGAACTTTAGAGGACTTTTGAGTTATGGGTAGGGGCTCCAAGAACAAGGCAGGCACGATTCCGAGTTATATCAAGACTTGAGTTGCGTTTCCACGCCCGCCGTCGATTTGATACTTGGCCACACCGGGATGGTTAAACAAACCAGCATGCCTTCGACGTGAAATGCACGCCGCGGCTGAAACTGGGGATGGACAGAAGCCTGCACCAGTTGGGCTGGAGGAAACCCTACAGGCTTCGGGTAAAAGCAACCTATCAACTTGTGCCTGGCGTGAACCTAGTCTATCAATTGGGGCAGCTACATCCAATGAAACGAAGCAAGGTTTCTGTGGTCAATGTGGGAGAGACATGGGTGGGGACGTCTAAAGCCTTGTTTGCGAGTGCCCATTGCAGGAACCCCAAATTTGATTGTTGCTCACGTGTTCGTTGCTACTAAGTCCACTTGCAGATTTGCAGAAACAACTATTCAATGATGCTCAAAGTTCCATTTCCTGACTTAAGGCAGACTTTGATTGCAGAATTAGTTTCCATTTTGGGGGAATCACTTCCACCGCTGACTTCAACTGTATGGAGTAGTCAAAAAGGGGAACTCTGATTGCACAGGAAGTTGCAAAGTCACATATACTGTAATACCGTAATACCCTGAGGGCCCTGTCCAAAATCCTTAGACGGGAAGGTATGAGAAGACCCGCTTCCGCTGTTCGGTGCAAGCCGTGTTGAAGTCCAAGGGCGCCGCATGACGGTCAAACCTGGGGTTCCTGGTTTATTTGCAGGGGAGACTAGATCTTAACCAACACCGTAAAAGAAAAGCCACGCCTCAATGTTCGAATCCCACAAGTTGCTTGCAAAATCCTCGCCGCAAAATGGAAGCAGCACGGCGGCAAAGCGTGGCAGAGCTGAGCCGCTCACAAAAGCGGATCCCGCCAAGCCTCGAAACAGCAAGGCCAGCTACAGAAAGGGGTTCTGTCGAGTTACTGTGTTCCGTTGATGCAAAAGGAATCCAAAGGAAAACCAACCATTCTGGAGCAGCTCTTAGAGTTACCTGCCCGCGCGGACTCTTTTCCATGCTCGAACAACAAGCGGCTGCAATGTCAGGCTAATCTTCTCTGCATCAAACCGTCACTGCACCTTGGATGTTTTGCGTGTCATCTAAAGTCAAAAGAGGGGTCATGATTAGACCTTCTTCAAGCGTTTTCGCAAACCCAAACCCCAGTTTTCAGAGCTGAACCTTTTCGGAGCCCGTTTTGTTTTGTTTCCTCTGAGTTGCAGTCTGCGAGTCTGCGAGGCACGCCGCCGCAGGGGCGGTGGCCTCGACGCTGGCGCCGGTGCCTGCGGCACCTGCGACGGCGGCACCTGCGCAGATCGCCAGGTGCAAGGGGGCAGTGTTTTTGTGGGATTGAGAGGGAACTGCAGTCGTTGGTCTTTTGGTTTACGGATGACTGATTTGTGCTTTTGGTTTGGGGGGGGACTGCAGGATTGTTTGTTTGAAAAGTTCAGTTTCTTGGGGGGGGGGAGGCTGAAAAGGAAGTGCAGTTTTCTATGGATGTTTTTTGTTGTTGTTTTTTGCCGGGGAGGGTGGTTGAGGCGTAAAGGAGAGCAGCAGTTTCTTTTCGGATTGTGTTTTGTTCTTTTGAGGGGTTGAAAGGGGAAGTGCCAACCTAGTTTGGGAAGGGGAACAAATAAACAGAGCGTGCCAAGAAAGACAGCAAACAACACACAGGCCCAGATAAAAACAAGGCCTTCTCGATTTGTGCAACAGACATCGTGCCACCTGTTGAAACCCGAAACTAATTCCTTTCAATCCATGCTGTGAAGCTACCGGAGTGGTTTTGGTCGCAAATTCGTTGGCCACCCAACAATTCCAGATTGAGTTGAGCTCGAGTCAACCAACGAGCCAACTTGAAGTGTGACCAGGCATGCTGAAAAGTAGACGTGTCTCACGTTGTGCAAATGTTTGAAGTCATCTCTGGGGAAAGTAGACGTGTTTTGTCCTAAACTAGGGGAACCAAAAATTGACAGGTTTGCTTTGGGTTTCCCTTTGAAACAACCCCAAATCCGCCGAATTCCTTCCGCATTTGCCTTCTATTGATCTGCACGGTGCTCTCAAATCACCCTGCAAACAGAAGCACGACAACGTCAAACAGACCCCCCCGTAGCAAATTATGCATCATTGGGTGAGCAGGATTGAACAGCTGATCGAACCCGAACCTGCCGGATCCGTTTGCCTTTAGTGGCTTTGACGTGTGAGGTGTGGTTGGCTACGTTTACAGTCGCTCATCTTGAGCTTTGTCATTATTCGTGTCAACAGCCGTAGGAACAATCAGTAGCAACGGTAGTGGCCACTTGGCCACCTGTGCTTTTCAGTCGCCTAAAAACATCATTTCCTCAGAGCCACAAATCAGCTAAAATTGATGCTGATTTGGCTACCAAACTATCCCTTCCAAATTTGGAATTGGAGGAGTGAAAGTTCATGCCTGTCTCCATTTGCCTTTTGTGATGCTCTGCAAACTAAGCCGCTTCTTTGTTTTTTTTTTGGCGGGGTTGGTCTGTGATAAATCGAACTGAACCTCCCCTCTCAGGTGGAAGCCTTCAACCGGTGCCATAGTGGATCTCACCCTCTAAACCGTTCCTCTTTTTTGGGTTTGGTGGGTTCCTTACAGAAACATGCTCAACCTAAATCAGGGTTTCCTGAGGTGTTTCGGCCCAAGGCTGACTCACCTCAGGCCTGAGCCGTCCCAGGGGCATGCGACCGACGTGGCAGCGTTCTACTAAGGGAGCGTCCCTTCGCAAAAGCGAAAGATGAAAAGACTTATAGCGAAGAAGCGGAAGAAAAAATAAGCGAGAAAGAGCAAGAGAAATCGAAAGAGAACGGAAAGGGAAGTGCGCTCCAAACTATAGTTTGTAAAACTTTGCAACTTCTGCCCCTCGGCTCTGCGGGGATTTACAGGTTGTGGCTTCCCTTGTTGTTGAGTCCTACGAGTCCTGCGGAGTACGGATTGGCATCTTCCATCTTGAACAACTCGTTTTGGGACGGAGAAAAGAACAAACAACACATGTCTCAGAAACTCCGACCAAACAATCAAACATCCCCTTTGCGGCGAGAAACTAGTCTGGGAGGTGGCCCACTTTGGTATCACAGAGCTTTTGGTGAGTGGCAGTCAGCCAGCAGCTGGACCCCGAATTGCGACCAACCAATTTCCTGGGAAATCTCCAAACGCGTGCTAACTGTTAACGCTATCTGACTGTTACTCACACTAGCAGTGCTGGTTTTTCTTCTTTGAAAAGGGTGTCCTTTTCAGGTTGATGTACTGGGAAGCTCAAAGGAAAGCTACCAGCTTTGGGGGCCCTCTGTTTTCGACCTACCCATATTTCTCCTGCCCGGCGCGACTTCGCGAGGCCTCGCTGGCAATCGACGGACGCAATGAGCAGGACGCCGAGCAAACCCCTGCAAGAGCCAGCGCCACCGACAGCCGAAGACAAGATCAACGAGGACAAGGCCAGGGTAGCCCGTGGTATGCTACTTTGTTGGTAACACGATGAAGCATGTTTGGCCTACCAGGCACTGATTGCAGGAACCGTGCCAGCCCCCCTCAGTGGTTAAGGGTTGAGAAACCTAAAGAGGGCCAAACAAGGTCAAACAAGACCAAGCAACACACGGGAGCTTGGCAACTTGCGCTAAGTGACAATTGCCCAGTTCATGTGCGTCAGGTGGAAGTCTAAAGCTGAGGAGAAATGAACATTTCTGTTGGAAGGCGTGATAAGGTTGTTTTTCCCACCCCTGGCAATGCAGCGACCATAGTTCAACAACGGCTTGGCCGAAGGCCGAAGAACATCAGTGCACACAAAGACACAAATTAAGTTCAATCATAGCAACACATACTCTACCTGCAAGCCAAGTGTGTTTGTGTGCGTGTGTTAGCGATTGTAGTAAGGCCGCACATCCATGGCGGAAACCCTCCCTTCCCCCTCCTACTAGGCGCCGCCTGAAAATCCTTCTTCCGCAGGCCTTGCAGGAAGAAGCGGTGAGGCGCAGTTGGGTCCTCCTGGGGGCCCTGGGTTTCCTCGGAGTGCCGGGCTCCCGGCCCCGCGGCGTGTCGTTTGCGCAGCCGAATTTCGGGAGAACAGGGGAAGACAAGTAGGTGGCTTAGTCCTCAACACCAGGATTTTCGGAGCTGAAATGGAAATGCAGAGGGGTTCCCCATGGTTTCCTTCTGAAACAACTGAACAAACACAGGGGATAAGAGATAGAAGTGACCTCTCCGCCCACATTTTGCAATCCGCCTTACACTCTCCCTACGCTTTTTGGCGCAATTCAAAAACGCCCATCAACACAACCCTTGGTTCAACCAAATCTCACACCCAAAACGTGATTAGCCATTGGAAACAGCAAGTTCTAGTCGCTAACCCAAATCCTGAAACGAGAAGGCTGGATGGCAAAATGTGAGTGGGAACAAGGCTTTGTCAGATAGATTTGCACCGTCATACAATTGCAACAGACGTAGGCGACCGTTCCAACTGACATGGGCAGTTCCACATGCCGCTTTTCGAGGGTACCCTTTGCAGGATGGTTTTAAAACAATCACAAGGAACATGTTGGGGTCCAGATCCTTATTTTGACGCATACAACCATGACAGCCTTGTCAGCCATTTGTGGCCTTTGTAATTTGTTATATGTGTTATGTGCATGGCAACATTGCGGCCACACATGGCAAGTGTGGCACGCATAGAAGAGGGTCTTGGTGAATGTGGCACTTTTCGTTGGTGTCTAAAGAAAACAAACAAGAAGCACCCATGCTCTAGGGGTCCCCTGCCTCCGGCTGGCGTTTTGACTCCGACACCATTCATATTTGTTTAGCGCACATTTTTTTCGCGGCCTGGACCGGGGGGGGGGGGGTCTTGGATCTTTTTGTTGGGTCGGCATCTTCGAACCCTTTTCGGGTTAGAGAGCAAAACCCGGTGAAGAGTTGCAATTTGGAAATAAGGACCCCCTTTTTTGGCCAGGCGTAGTCCAAGACCCTGTAGTCCAGGCCCCCCACCCCCCCCACCCGCCCCCCAAAAAAAACCGTGGTGACATTTTTGCGGGTATCTTCCAACCCCCCCTTTTCAGGTTGGGTGCCCAACGGTCGTCGCAAGCTGAGGGCCTGCACGCCAGTCCTGCCGGCAATGCTGCATCGACCTGTGGGGACTGGGTCTCATTTTCAAGAGAGGGGATGGACTCCAAATGGCTCTGTGTTGTGTTCAGATGGGAAACCCTTTGTGGTTAAGGAAGCTGAACTGACTTTGGGCTTGTATTGGCAAAGGTGGCTAAAGGGGAATAAGCAGTGTCTTGGTTTTGGCCCCTGATGTTAGGGAATCAGGGAAGAAATTGGAACCCTTTATTTTGACATGGGTTTATGGCTGGTTTGCTGGGGTGGAGAAAATGTAAGCAGAATCAGCTCACCTAGCCGAAGGTTGACAATCCCGAATATCAGCCCGTTGGATGGTCTAATGAAGGCGTTGCTAACTCCACGAGGGCGAAGAGATGCGAAGAGTTTCTGGCGGTGCTTCCCTCAAGCTTCCATTTGTAGGCTTCCTCCAGACGCTGGCCAGCTTTGAGATCGCACGCACAGATGCGGCCGAAAGCAGATGATTGACAAGGGTCCTTCAATTCACAAGGGTCGAGAATTGGTTTGGTTCCCTTAGTGCCAGGCTCTTTGGAGCAACCCTGAAGATCACAACTCGTGAGGATGCTCTGTGAGATGAGCACTACCGTGTGCGCTTTCTCATTGACCAAACTGCTTCCCGATGCAGTGCAGGCGCTTTGGGAGAGGGACACAGCATGTGCGCAGAGGTGTTGGAGAGCAATGTGTGTGAGAGAGAGTTTTGAAGTGTAATTACCCCTTTTCAGGCTGGTTCCAAGGGAAACCAAAAGGAAAGCCACCATTTCGAGGGATTCCCCCTTGTCTGACACATATCCATATTGTGTGATTCTCTTGCTGCCCCTGGAGTGCAAGTCATCAAAAGAAAAGGGACGCAATGAGGTGGCGGATACGAAAGGGGATGTGCACACAGAGAGATCCCAAGCTGGGTGCAGTAGAGGTCACCGAGCAGCCAACAGAGAACTTCGTTTTTGTTCTTCTGCTATCCAGGTGAGCCCTTGTTGTTGCGACGGCAGACAAGCTTGGAAGCCAAAAGCATTCCTTTGGTCAGTCGTTCTTTGCGCTGCCAAACCACCCACATTTCGAAGGAAGCATGACAGGAGCCTTGTTTAATCGTTTGCTGGATGCAAGTCACATTTTGGCCTGACCGGTTAGCATTAATTACTCTGCGGATAGACATGGAAACGTACGCAGTTTGAGAGGAATCTCCTCCTGGGAGACTCGTTTAAACGACGGGGCTGCGTTACCGCAAGTCCGCGCCAGCGCGTGCTTCACCCGCTCGTGGTCTGTGCGGTGTCCTCCAACTTGGCGAGACGCCGGCGTGTTTTTGGCAGTGAATTCGAATACACTCCTGCATTTTAACATATAACCCGAAGAGCACAGTTTTTAAAGGATTCTTTTATAGGGGAGCCCGTTTTGGGCTTGCATGTCAATCTGGCGGGCACCAGCTGGCTTACAGGATTCTCATGTGAGCCACAATCAAAACCTGGGTAGATGAAGGTTAGTAAAGGACGATCCCAACCATAAATAGCTGCGGCCGCCTTCTTAATTCTTTACATGGTTCTGGGTTCACCATTTTAGTACCAGGTTTTGATTGCGACTCATGTAAAGCAGGTGGCTTTTGAATGCATCTTTTAAGGACCCCTGAAATGAACCTTCATGTTTGAGGCCGCACAATCCCGCAAAGAGGCCGCCCATTTCATCCCGGCCCAAACTGCGATAAACGGCGAGAGAGACCCCCCCGAGATGAGTAGCCGAGGATGAACTGACGATGAGCAGGCCCCTTCCCACCAGGTCCCTTTAAGATCCAGCGACATCAAAGTGCTCATTGCTTGAAATGCCACGGCCTCCCCAGTGAGAAAGCTCCGCAGCAGTTGGGTTGAACTTTGATGATTCCCTCCCATCTCGAAAACGAGCCTGAAAGGTTGATTCTGGCTTAGCTGCAAATGTGGTGATGTGAACACATGACTGTGGCTCAAATGAATATGCCAAAGTGGCACCTTGGCAAATGAAACCAAAGACTAAAACCTGCGAACCCTAGCCCACCCTCACATGGGTAATTATTAATTGTATGTCGTGTATATTTCTATCCACACATATATATATATATATATTTACATTTCGTGGTGTACACGGGGTTTGTCTGTTTTGAAGGCACCCAGTTTGGGATTCGTACAAGTGACTATCAAAGGGAAACGGCCAGTTTTTGGGTTCCCCTTTTGTGAGACAAACCCATGCACACCAACCCTTGTCAAACTCATGGAAGCAAAGGAGGAAAGCCACAAATAAGGAACTTTTTGACTGGGGTTCTTGGCTTGGGCAACGTTGTCCGAAACGGGCCCTTTCTCTGGTGGGTTCGTGGGTGGGAGGGTGCTATTTCTGCTTAGAGAAATGCTTTGTTTTCCTGTCCAAAGCCGAGCGGAGCACAAAACGTTCTCTTTGCCGCTTATTGGGGCCATTGCAATTCCACAAAGGCGTCTTTGCCTGCCTTCCGATTGGTTTGTTTCCCACAAAAACATTCAAAAGGGTTGCCAACCTGGAACCCACCAAGAAATTGTCATTGAACAGTCATGAGTTGCCATACTGTGGATGGACGAAATCCTGCACCACCTCACAGACCCTGGAAGGTTGAATTCCCCGGAAATACCAACCAGCACTGGTTTCTATCTGGTGCACGATTTCGTCCATCCACAGTATTTCTCAGATTCCTCTTGGAGAGCTCTGGCAAAGTTCTCAAGGCTTACTCTGCCCCCTGCGATACATTGGAGGATATCAAGATTTGTTCTATGTTTTGTCGCAGTGCCGCATAGCCCATAGCCCATAATGATGTTGCGCAATGAAACACCAAAAGGGGATGTTAATGTGTATTGTTTCTTGTATTTTTCCTGACCCCAATTTTGCACCCAGTTTTCTGGGGGGGGGGGCGGCTGCTTTTCGATTCCAACAAGACTGCCAGGTCCCGCTTTGTGGGCCCAGTGGCGCCGTACTTCGACCAGGGCCGCGGGGCCACTGCCCCGAGACACGAGGTTCTACTGACTATGAGGATCATAGTGAGGCCAGCGCAAAGCCTTGTGGCCGCTTGAAAATAGTCTCCACCGAAGCAGAGCTGCCCCCAAAACAGAAAGGACCCATGGAGGAAGCCGTTTCACTTTTATCCCTCGGGGTTGATGATCTACCTTCTGGCTGAGACATGGACACATCGAAACAAAGATTTGCGCCTGGCAATTGTCTGGGTAGTCTCACTCGCCCACTTCCTGAGCCTTTTGGGTTGCTTGTTTTGGCCAATCCACGGCTCTAAGTCTGGTGAAGGTTAAAGAGTCGAGAGCTACAGGCGGACTTCTCATGGCTCCCATAAGCCGCGCCAACCTTTGCGAGCTGAAGGTCGGTGACAGGCTCTTCACCTGGCTGCCGGCGGCGGTTACAGGTGGCTTCTGCACTTTGGAAACGGAAGGTCGCAGTGTGTGTCTTCGTGTGTCTATGCGCGTTTGTCCATCAGGGGACCCCAGGATTTTATTTATTTTATGCTTGAAGCTTATATAGCCCAAACAGGGTCTTTGCGTGAATTTGTGTGCGTGTTCGTGTACTAGAACCCGGCCATGAGCGACGTAGATTGTGGCAAGCATCATCTTGCTTTACCCGTGCATTGATGCAAGCAAATGCACATGGGTATGCGTCAAACTAGAGGGATCCCCAAAATGAACGGTTGTCAAACTAAGTTTCCGTTGCGGGTGACTTGAAAATGGTAAGCGACACATCCAGTTGCCGAGAGTGCTGATCTTGCGGATTCGATGGATTCGTCTCCAGGCCTTGGCGTACGAATGTACAACACCACTGGCCTTTGGTTGGACAACCCCCAGGACTTCAAGTGCGTGCCTGGGTGGCATTTTGGGATGCAGGGGCCATGGGGATGGCATGGGTTGGCAACGCATCCTCTTTGATGCCTTTTTGCGGAGTACCCCTTTTAGGGGTCTCCCGATTCTGAAATAAACCTTGGGATCAAGCAGGGTGTTTGCAACTGAAATTCCCTCACTCAGTGCCCCCGGCAATTTGTCGGCGTCGTCGGCCATTTGGGGCTCCGCTTTGGGGCTCCGCTTTGGGGCTAGCCAGCAGAATTGTCGTTTGCGTTGTTCCAGTTCGATGGACTCCAGCAAGCCTCGTTTCTTGCATACGGATTTCCATCCTAACCATTCGTTCTCCCTGGTTGAGTAGCAATGCCGTACGTTTGAGCCCTTGACCTGCTGTGGCTGGTGGGGCCGCTTGTCCGATCTCTGACAGGTCCTGGGAACCTGCGCTGCCTCCGGCTGTCACTACCCCAGAGTCAAGCGGTCGGGAGGGATGTCGACAGAGGTGATCCCCTATGTTGTTCAAGGCAAATGGTCTCTTGCAGAATCTTCTGCAGTGTTTGCGGAAGACGAATCAAGTGATCAAGTGCATACTTGTTTTTATACAGTTGAACAGGCTTGCATGGGCTTGGGGTATTTGCAGGAGGGGTAGCGACTTGGTCCTGGAGCAAGTGGCTGCAGGGGGACAAACAACGTGGTTTGCTGGGTGGTTTGCAGGTTAGGTTGGCAGCAGCGTGCCTGCCTTCCTGGAAAACCGACTCTCAATATCTTAATTGATGGGGGACGCCGTTTCTGAAGAGTCGATATTCCAAGATTGGCCAGTGCGGTCTAGGTTTCTACAAGTGGGAGAATTCGGCTTTGCCATGCTGCGTCCATGAGACGTTTTTTCCTTCAATCTCATTTATTTGGTTTCTCGCATTTCGTGCAGGAATCAGAGCATTTGAGCGGCTCAGCCAGTTTGGGAACGAAAGCCAGATCAGCTCCATTGCAAGGGAAGCTAGACAGTATCTTCGCATCCGGTTCCTCCCTTTGGCCGTCTCAAACATAACCTTGGCCAGCTAAAGTAAGTTTCCTTTCGGTGCGCCGGTTGCTGATTTTCGGTTGGACATCTAGTTGAAACCTTCAGGAAACCCATACTTGGTGGTTTGGATTGGCGGTTTGGGGAGTTGAACCTGAGTTTCTTTTGAAACCGAATGGGGAAGCTTTCGCCAAACCTCCAAACCACCAATCCAAACCTTTGAACCCCTCTCGCCCAGGCTTTTCGATTTTCCTCACCGCCCTCGGAGCCGTGAACACCTTTTCTCCGCTGTCAGTGCCGGCACCGGCGCGGCAATGTTGAGAGCAATGTGAGGGCTGGGATATGGGTCTGTGTGTGTGCATATGTTTGTTGTTGGCGTTTCGAGGGTACCCATTCCAGGTCGTTCTACAAGAAAAGCCGGACATCAGAAAGAACACCGGCCACGTTTGGTACTTGGGCACGTGACGTATGCTCAGAATTCCGTTTGCAGAAATTGTGTGTTCCACACTTTGAACCAGAGAGAAGAGTTGACTGGGAAAACCTCCAAAGTGGAGAAGTCGCTTTGCCAGCACTTCCTTGTGTCAGGTTTAGTTCATTCCTGTTGCTGCAAACCCACACTTAGAACCTTAGATCATTGCCATGACAGGTTCTAAGTGTGGATTTGGGAAGATGGCCAAGATTTTGCGACGAAATAGGTGTCACAGAGGTCAGTTGTCGATTTGTTTGGTCAACATGAACCGAAAATAATAAAGGCTTTGAGACCGTGGTCGTTCTCAGGGTTGGGAACGTTTAGACATGCAGCCCTTATTGTTTGAACCAACCTCCTGTTGATTCTCCGTTTTAACAGGGAACAACACATGTTTTAAGCAGCTTTCACAGATGCTGTCTTCAAGGGCCTGGTGTTTTTATTCCCAACCGCATGTTGCCCGATCCTTTCATTTTCGATGGTTGCTCGGTGCCTCGAAAGAATGAACCCCAGTTTCTCAGGAGCAAATGGACGCATACGGGTGTGCCCTGTTGACAAGCAAGAACAAAGCAAACAAACAATCATGGTCATCGCGTCTTCCGATGGCCTTTTGGTGCACTGCCAGCTCTCCCTGCCGATGCTGCACCGCTCGGTGATGTCCGCACTCGGCATCGAGGGCTCGCAGGCGCATGTGACATCCGCTCGCGTTTGGATTCGGGAGTGGGAAGGCCGTTTTCGGGGAGGGGGAAGCCAGAATGAACCATGAAGAACTTTGATATGTCTATATATCTATATATGTATTATATATATACATGTACACATGCATATCATATAATTCATCATACACAAATGTACATAAACATACGCATATTGAATACATATAGACTCTGCGTATACACATACATGTGATTTATTGTATCTTACAGGTGTGTGCATATACTGGTCGTGAGAAAGCGCTCGTAGGAACGATCCTTTGCTCGCGGCTATGTCTTTAGCCCGTTCTGAGTGTGGCTTCGATTGCGGGGGCATGAGCATAGAGGTCTCGATCTGGGCTTTTGGGACCAGGAGTTTGGACACAAACAACTTGGCCCGCAGAATGAAGCTTCGCGCACGTCTTTCTAGACGGCATGTGTCTCGGAACAATCTAGCGACTTCACCAGGAGGAGGGTACGACCTGTGATGAAGGTTCCTTCATGGTTGGAAAATGTTAATTCACGCAGTCATTTTCCGTGATATTTGAGATGCAATGTTGTTTGAAAGTTGCGCCAGCTGACCCAGCTGACCTTCAGTTTGTCTCGCAGCTGTACGCTGGGAAAATCATGGGACTCGGCTGGAGGATATTGGACAACAGACCGGAGAGGCCAGCCCCCCAAACCACTAATCCCAAGAAACAATTGGGGATATCAGCATATACCCTTTAAGCAGTGGCTATGTAGTGCCGATTTTCCCTTGAGTCTTAGATTCATGGGCCTTCAGACCTAATTTACTCGAACCAGGGCTCCTGTTGAGACGAGCAATCCCCCTTTTTGGGGGGTTCCTTCTGAGTTTCTGTTTGTCAAATTGCTAGGGAGTATTCTTTGGGCATGGCAGAGGCCCTTTCTCGCTGTCCTTTCGGGTCTAAAGCTACCGCAACCTGCGAGGCGATTGGTCCCGAGTGTGATCCAAAGTTGGCCGTAGCGTCAATTCTGATCACTGGGCGCGGGCTCCCGGAAGAGAGCAGGTCGGTGAGTGATAAGCAGTCGGACCTGGGGAAGGCTTCCCGCCATTCTATGGTCGAAGATTTGATGTTCCCCGAGATTGTACACGCTTCGCGTTGCCCGCCTCGACCAGTATGTTTTTGGCTGGACTTTGTTTTTGCCTTGAAGTGTTGTGTTTGTTTGAGTGTGAGCTGGTTCCCGAGATATATGGTGGGCTGGCTTTCTAGGGGAAAGTTGGCTGGGGCGATTTGACTGATTTCTAAGGGAATTTGACCGGTTTTTAGGGCAGATTTGATCGGTTTCTGGGGCAGATTTGATCGGTTTTTAGGGCAGATTTGATCGGTTTCTGGGGCAGATTTGACCGGTTTCTAGGGTGGATTTGACCGGTTTCTAGCTGGTCTTTGCCGGTTCCTAGGGGGGATACGACCCAGTAACTTCTTTGGGGTAAATCCGACGTCTAAGATGCTCGAGGCTGGGCGTGGGTTTGGGCTGCGGAAGGATCTGGCCTCCGGGACTTTGGGGCTGCAGGCAGCTGGAGCACGAGTTTGGCTCGGACGGACAAATTTCGCGGTGGGAAGGGGATGGGAGGAAGATCTCGAAGGGACTGAGGACCGCTTCCCGGCCCTGGGGCCGAGCCGAATTATGAGACCCTATCTTTGGGCAGGGGCAGTTGTGATAGCTTGGCAACGTTCAGCAAACGTAAGCAGGTAGTACTCCTCGTGGGGCATTTGAGTACAGCTCTCACTGCTTTCTTCCCAGTTGATTTAGTCAAATCAAGAACCTCGTGGTCTTGGGAGACACAATGGAACTCGGACCGCCAGAGGTGCATCGGGGCCTCTCTGGGCAATACCTTGCTGGAAGCGTTCCCATTTTTCCGCGCGCAGGGGCCTCAGCTGACTCTGAGTGAACGCGAGGTTCGGCGCGCAACTCACCAACTGGATCGGTTGGTCTTTTGTTCACAGCCCAGGCATGCTCGATACTGTCACAAGTGAAGCGACTGGCATGTTCACTGGCATGCGGGCCTCCCCCTTATATTTGCCAGAATTACTCCTTTTGCACCAATGGTTTCCCTATAGTGGTGTTTCCATTCCAGTACAGATTGTGGATATGGGCTGCTTCTGATTTTGGACAACCCATCTAAATGGGTCTGTATTCTGCCGAGCGTTTGTGGTCAACGAAGGCAACACCAAACAGAAAACCACCATTTAGTTTCTTATTTGAATACATAACCCCAGAAAGAACATTTTGTTGTTCTCCTGTCCCAGCTTAGGGTGTCCAGTCCACCAATGACTTCGTGCGACGCGTTGCGTGAGGTCTTCTCCGTTGGTCAGAGGTGTCGCCATGGGGTGCTCCGCACACTCCATCGGCACAGCAGGGCTCATCTCCCTGGGGGACCGGGGCTCTGGGTGGTGGTGGGTGGTGAACTCATTACGGGTCCCCAGGGGATTAAGCCCATGGTTCATGTCATTAATAAGCAATAGTGGAGGAGGGTCGACAGAATCGTGATGCCAACCAGAGGGAGTGTTTCCGGAAATAGTGGAATGTTTAGCAGGTGTTTGGTCATTGGGTGCTTGTGCATATACCAAGCATCTCTACCTAAATCAACAGCCACGCATGCACTGGCATAATAGCTTCCTTACATGGCTGATGTTTGGCATCGGGGCTCAGAGTTGTCCAGATGTGCCAGCAGTATATGTTCAATGTTTTGGTAGGGGTGGTCATCGACTTGTCAACCCCTTGGCCCCTCAGTTGGATTTAACAATTATTAGGGGTCATACACGTTGCCAACCACCATGAAAAATCATGGGCGTTGCCAACCACCATGAAAAATCATGGGCGTTGCCAACCACCATGAAATATCATGGGCGTTGCCAACCACCATGAAATATCATGGGCGTTGCCAACCACCATGAAAAATCATGGGCGTTGCCAACCACCATGAAATATCATGGGCGTCGCCAACCACCATGAAATATCATGGGCATTGCCAACCACCATGAAATATCATCAGCGTTGCCAACCACCATGAAATATCATGGGCGTTGCCAGGCGTTGCCAACCACCATGAAAAACCATGGGCGTTGCCAGCCGCCATGAAATATCATGGGTGTTGCCAACCACCATGAAATATCATGGGCGTTGCCAGGCGTTGCCAACCACCATGAAAAACCATGGGCGTTGCCAGCCGCCATGAAAAATCATGGGCGTCGCCAACCACCATGAAAAAGCATGGGCGGTGCCAATCATTATGAAATATCATGGGCATTGCCAACCACCATGAAAAACCATGGGCGTTGCCAACCACCATGAAAAATCATGGGCGTCGCCAACCACCATGAAATATCATGGGCGTTGCCAACCCCCATGAAATATCATCGGTGTTGCCAACCCCCATGAAAATCATGAGCGTTGCCAACCGCCATGAAATATCATGGGCATTGTCAACCGCCATGAAATATCATGGGCGTTGTTAACCACCATGAAATATCATGGGCGTCGCCAACCACCATGAAATATCATGGGCATTGTCAACCGCCATGAAATATCATGGGCGTTGTTCACCACCATGAAATATCATGGGCGTCGCCAACCACCATGAAAAATCATGGGCGTTGCCAACCACCAAGAAAAATCATAGGCGTTGCCAACTATCATGAAAATATCATAGGCGTTGCCAACCGCCATGAAAAGTCATGGGCGTTGCCAACCATCATAAAAAGAAACATAGGCGTTGCCAACCACCAATCATGGGCGTTGCCAACCACACTGAAATATCATGGGCGTTGCCAACCAGCATGAAATATCATGGGCGTTGCCAACCACCATCAAATATCATGGGCGTTGCCAACCCCCATGAAAGATCATGACGGTTTTCAACCGCCATGAAAATCATGAGCGTTGCCAACCGCCATGAAAATCATGGGCGTTGCCAACCGCCATGAAAAACCATGGGCATTGCCAACCGCCATGAAAAATCATCGTCGTTGCCAACCACCATGAAAAACCATGGGCGTTGCCAACCACCATGAAAAATCATGGGCGTCGCCAACCACCGTGAAAAATCATGGGCGTTGCCAACCACCATGCAAAAACATGCGCGTTGCCAACCACCATGAAAAATCATGGGCGTTGCCAACCACCATGAAAAATCATGGGCGTTGCCAACCCCCATGTCAACCGCCATGAAAATCATGACGGTTGTCAACCCCCATGAAAATCATGACGGTTGTCAACCGCCATGAAAATCATGAGCGTTGCCAACCACCATGAAATATCATGGGCATTGTCAACCGCCATGAAATATCATGGGCGTTGTTAACCACCATGAAATATCATGGGCGTCGCCAACCACCATGAAAAATCATGGGCGTTGCCAACCACCAAGAAATATCATGGGCGTTGCCAACCATCATGAAAAGTCATGGGCGTTGCCAACCGCCATGAAAGATCATGGCCGTTGCCAACCACCATGAAAAATCATGGGCGTTGCCAACGGCCATGAAAATTCATGGGCGTTGCCAACCACCATGAAAAATCATGGGCGTTGCCAACCACCGTGAAAAATCATGGGCGTTGCCAGCCACCATGAAAAATCATGGGCGTTGCCAACCCCCATGAAAATCATGAGCGTTGCCAACCGCCATGAAAATCATGACGGTTGTCAACCCCCATGAAAGTCATGCTGGTTGTCAACCGCCATGAAAATCATGACGGTTGTCAACCCCCATGAAAATCATGACGGTTGTCAACCACCATGAAAAATCATAGGCGTTGCCAACCACCATGAAATATCATGGGCGTTGCCAACCACCATGAAAAATCATGGGCGTTGCCAACCCCCATGAAATTCATGAGCGTTGCCAACCGCCATGAAAATCATGACGGTTGTCAACCCCCATGAAAGTCATGCTGGTTGCCAACCACCATGGAAAAATGAACGGCCGCGCAAGTGGTGCTTCTCTGCCGCAAAACCCCTTGTGCGGGCATTTTTAGCAAACGGGCCTTTGTGCGGCCATTTTCTGTGCCTTATGCGTTGCCAACCACCCTGCAAAATTATAGGCGATGCCAGCCACCATGATTTTTGTTTTGCGTTGCCAAGCACCAAGAAAAGTCATAGGCGTTGCCAACCACCATGAAAAATCATGGGCGTTGCCAACCACCATGAAAACTCATGGGCGTTGCCAACCACCATGAAATATCATGGGCGTTGCCAACCCCCATGAAAATCATGACGGTTGTCAACCGCCATGAAAATCATGAGCGTTGCCAACCACCATGAAATATCATGGGCGTTGCCAACCGCCATAAAGAATCATGGGCGTTGCCAACCGCCATGAAAAATCATGGGCGTTGCCAACCACCATGAAACATCATGGGCGTTGCCAACCACCATGAAACATCATGGGCGTTGCCAGCCACCATGAAACATAATGGGCGTTGCAAACCACCATGAAAGATCATAGGCGTTGCCAACCGCCATGAAAATTCATAGGCGTTGCCAACCACCATGAAAAGTCATGGGCGTTGCCAACCGACATGAAAGATCATGACGGTTGTCAACCGCCATGAAAATCATGAGCGTTGCCAACCGCCATGAAAATCATGACGGTTGTCAACCCCCATGAAAATCATGCCGGTTGTCAACCGCCATGAAAATCATGGGCGTTGCCAACCGCCATGAAAAATCATGGGCGTTGACAACCGCCATGACAAATCATGGGCGTTGCCAACCACCATGAAATATCATGGGCGTTGCCAACCGCCATGAAAAATCATGGGCGTCGCCAACCACCGTGAAAAATCATGGGCGTTGCCAACCACCATGAAAAATCATGGGCGTTGCCAACCGCCGTGAAAAATCATGGGCGTTGCAAACCAACCGCCATGAAAATTCATGGGCGTTGCCAACCACCATGAAACATCATGGGCGTTGCCAACCACCATGAAAAATCATGGGCGTTGCCAACCGCCATGAAAAAGCACAGGCGTTGCCAACCACCATGAAAAATGAACGGCCGCACAAGTGGTGCTTCTCTGCCGCAAAACCTCTTGTGCGGCCATTTTTAACAAAAGGGCCTTTGTGCGGCCATTTTCTGTGCCTTATGCGTTGCCAACCACCCTGCAAAATCATAGGCGTTGCCAGCCACCATGAAATCATATGCGTTGCCAACCACCATGAAAAATCATGGGCGTTGCCAACCAGTATGAAAAATCATAGGCGTTGCCAACCACCATGAAAAATCATGGGCGTTGCCAACCACCATAAAAAAGTCATCGGCGTTGCCAACCGCCATGAAAAACCATGGGCGTTGCCAACCACCATGAAAAATCATGGGCGTTGCCAACTGCCAACCACCATGAAAAATCATGGGCGTCGCCAACCGCCATGAAAAATCATGGGCGTTGCCAACCGCCATGACAAATCATGGGCGTTGCCAACCACCATGAAAAATCAGTGAAAAATCATGGGCGTTGCCAACCATCATGAACAATCATGGGCGTTGCCAACCACCGTGACAAATCATGGTCGTTGCCAACCACCATGAAAAATCATGGGCGTTGCCAACCACCATGAAATATCATGGGCGTTGCCAACCGCCATGAAAAATCATGGGCGTTGCCAACCGCCATGAAAAGTCATGGGCGTTGCCAGCCACCATGAAACATAATGGGCGTTGCCAACCACCATGAAACATCATGGGCGTTGCCAGCCACCATGAAACATAATGGGCGTTGCAAACCACCATGAAAAATCATAGGCGTTGCCAACCACCACGAAAATTCATAGGCGTTGCCAACCATTATGAAAAATCACAGGCGTTGCCAACCACCATGAAAAATGAACGGCCGCACAAGTGGTGCTTCTCTGCCGCAAAACCCCTTGTGCGGCCATTTTTAGCAAAAGGGCTTTGTGCGGCCATTTTCTGTGCCTTATAAGTTGCCAACCGCCGTGCAAAATCATAGGCGTTACAAACCACCATGAAAAATCATGGGCGTTGCCAACCACCATGAAAAATCATGGGCGTTGCCAACCACCATGAAAAAATGAACGGCTGCACAAGTGGCGCTTGTCTGCCGCAAAACCCCTTGCGCGGCTATTTTTTACAAAAGGGCCTTTGTGCGGACATTTTCTGTGCCTTATGCGTTGCCAACCACCATGAAAAATCATAGGCGTTGCCAACGGCCGCACAAGTGGTGCTTCTCTGCCGCAAGACCCCTTGTGCGGCCATTTTTAACAAAAGGGCCTTTGTGCGGCCATTTTCTGTGCCTTATGCGTTGCCAACCACCCTGCAAAATCATAGGCGTTGCTAACCACTAGGAAATCATATGCGTTGCCAACCACCATAAAATTGATATGCGTTGCATACCACTATGAAAAATCATAGCCGTCG